CGCCGCACCAATGACACGGAACGCGCGTGGCTTCATGGATCAGGTGCGCGCCTTCCAGGAGCAGGTGGACAAGCTGGGCCGCCTGCAGGTTGACTCCGCAGAATATGGCTGCCTCAAGGCCATTGCGCTGTTCACACCTGGTAAGATGCCCTCCAAAGGGGGGCCGGGGCCGGGGGACTCTTTGGTGGTGGGGGGTGACCCTTCACTCTCTGACGCCCTGCCTGCTAGGCTGTGGCTTGCACCTGCTGTGAGTGCTAAATGGGGCGGTGGAGGAGGTGATATAGGTGGTGTGGTGCCCTGATGCCCCAACCCCAGATCCCAGGTCTCCCTAAGAACTCTGACTCTGGTCCCCAGACCCCAGGCTGGGTCTGAACTGGTTCCACAGCCTCTCTTCCTGATTTTTGGGCTCCCTGAGACACCCCCCTCTCCCACTCTCCATCCCTTCATCAAAGACGCGGGGGTGGGTAGGGAGGCCCCTGACATCTGATTCTGGCCCCTCCTCCCTGATTTCTGTGACCCCAGACCTGACCCAGAGTCCCCAACCCGCTCGTAGGGCAGCCTCCAGGGCTGACTGGATTGGGAAGGGGTGTGGCTTTGAGGTCCTTCCCATTGAGGAGGGACAAGGCTGTCCTAATACTCTCCTGCCAGGTGTAACCATCCAGCTGCCAAAGCACTACCTAATTCTGGGGACTGTTGGCACAGCTGCCTCTGTAACCAGGAAGGATCCAGACCCACTAGGTGTTTTCTTGGGGCCAGGGATGCAGGAACCAGACCTAGGCCATTCGGGGAGGTGGCATCCATGTGAAATATACAACTTTCCCTTCCTTCTTTCCCTAGAAGACTCTACCCCCACCTTCAAGGGGCCCATCTAGACAATGTCACACTCACTCAAGCCCCAGACCCCTCTGGGCCTTGCCTTCCTCCCCACGGCCCCTTCCCAGCCCCCTCTTTCCCTTGAACTTGATTAGAACTTGTCTCCCTGACAAGGCCTCAGTTGGGGTCCCATCCACCCTTGGGGTATCATTGCCTGCACCCTTGCGTTATTGTCCTCGGATGAGGCTACCTCCCTATCTTTTGAGAGCCAATACTGCCTTAGATACCCCCATTTGTGACCCAGGTCCCTATCTCTCACCTCCTGAATGCGCCTCTCCCTCCATATCCACATCCCCAATGGTACCCCCAGTCACCCCTGGGGCCCTGTGTCCTGCCATATCCTACCCATCTGACCTTGCCCTTGTCCTTCCAGATGCCTGTGGCCTTTCAGATCCAGCGCACGTGGAGAGCCTACAGGAGAAGGCACAGGTGGCCCTCACTGAGTACGTGCGGGCCCAGTACCCGTCCCAACCCCAGCGCTTCGGGCGCCTGCTGCTGCGGCTCCCTGCCCTGCGTGCCGTCCCTGCCTCCCTCATCTCCCAGCTGTTCTTCATGCGCCTAGTGGGCAAGACACCCATTGAGACGCTGATTCGAGACATGCTGCTGTCTGGAAGTACCTTCAACTGGCCCTATGGCTCAGGCCAGTGACTGGACAGGACCCGGGGCACCGTGGCCGGGTCTGCAGACCTCAAGGGATGTGGCTGCTCGAGCCTCAGGGGGATTCCCCAGACAGAGGACTCCAGCCTCTCTCCTCAGACTCCTATTTTTTAAAGACTGTGAAATGTTTGTCTTTTCTGTTTTTTAAATGATCATGAAACCAAAAAGTGACTGATTGTCCAGGCTCTGGCCTTGTCCTCCACAGAACCTCCTGGCCAAGATGGGGGAGGAACTGAGGTTCTAATCCTGGGACAGTCTTGTCCCTCAGTGCCTCAGGCATGAACTCGTGGGATGGTGGGGTTGGTTCCCTACTGTGATGGGCAGAGGCCTGGGGTCGACTGGAGGGGCAGCCGTAGTCAGGAAGGAGTTGCGTGCACCAGGTGGCTTCTTCTGGACATGTAATCCACGTTGGACACTACATAGTGAATGAATCAAGGCCAATAATAAAGGCATTTCCTACCTGCAAACAAAGTTTGTCATCCCCCCCCCCCCCCCCCTGTTGATTTTTAGAAAGAGTGGAAGGGAAGGAGGGAAGGGAGAGAGAAACATGCATGTGATCCATTGGTTGCCTCCCACATGCACCCCAACTGGGGCTGGGGATTGAACCTGCAACCCAGGTACATGCCCTTGACCAGGAATTGAGTCCACAGTCCTTTGATGCATGGGCTGATGCTCTAACCACTGAACCATACCGGCCAGGGCTCTGTCATCTTTTGAGGGGAAGGCAGCCTACCATGGGAACCCACTCCCACCACCTGGAAAACCCACAGCCTAACAACAGCCCTGCTTGCTGTTTGTGTTGGACAGTGTTGTAGGGAAAGTCTGGGGTTGGGAGGGGCCGAGGTCAGCCAGTGAGTCTGTAGGAGTTAAGCCTAGCAGATGGCTCAGGTGAAATTCAGACTCTGGCTTCAGAGTGAGCCTCATGGATTCACACATGCCCCGGACCAAACACCTCATTGTTTTCTTTGGCCAGCCCTTAATCATGGCTTCAGGCCCCAGTGTCCTCAGGTAAACCACAGTGCCCAGCGGCAATCGCTGTTCAGCTTGCAGTGCCCAGAAGTGGAAAATTGCAGGGACCCGTTTACTTGGTTGGCCTTGCGGCCTCCTGAAGGGTCCTGGCTGCGCCTGCCCCCTTCAGGTGGTCCCCAGCATTACATCACGAGTTCTAGAAGGCTACCCCAGCAAGACTGTAGGGCAGTGGTTCTCAACCTTCCTAGTGCTGTGACCCTTTAATACAGTTCCTCATGTTGTGGTGACCCCCAACCATAAAATTATTTTCGTTGCTACTTCATAACTGTAATTGTGCTACTGTGATGAATCGTAATGTAAATATCTGATATGCAGGATGTATTTTCATTGTTACAAATTGAACATAATTAAAGCATAGTGATTAATCACAAAAACAATATATAATTATATATGTGTTTTCCGATGGTCTTAGGCGACCCCTGTGAAAGGGTCATTCGACCCCCAAAGGAGTCGCGACCCACAGGTTGAGAACCGCTGCTCTAGGGTCCTTTGCCTCCATTACTGGACCTGTGGAAACTCCTGGCCCTGGGGCTCCCCAATCACTTGGCCCCTTTCTTTTCCCCCAGAAAGGGCCACCTGAGGCTCTGGAGGAGCAGGAGCCCCCTGGACAGATAAGCGTTCATACCACACTTGGAGACCCTGAACAAGGCCATATCTCGGAACCTTCATTTTTTTCCCTCTGCAACATGGAAGAACAATTTTTTGGTGACGAGTGTTAAGCATAGTATATATTTAAGAAATGTTTATTCCATTGGGATTGGGAACAGGACCTGCTTCCAGAGGACGAGTTGAGATCTAGGGTCCCCATGGGGTCAAGGTTGGGGGTCCTGGAGGAGGTCCTGGGAAGAATTCCTGGAGTAGGAGGTCATCAGGACCAAAGCCTCAAAGGCTGAGGCATTTGCAACCAGGGAAGGCTACCCTAGGAGGGGGAAGAGCAGGAACTAAGGCTGGGAGGTAGAGAGAGAAGTGAGCGCAAGGCGGGCTCACTCTGTCAGGATGCTCAGAAGTACACAGAGCCCTCGCTGTCTCCTCGGCTGTCGAATTTCTGGATCTGCGCCTTGAGGTGCCTTAGTTTGCCCTTCAGGTAACGGCAGCGAGCCTGCTTGTCCAGAAAGCCAGGGTCCTGGGTAGGATGAGAGCGGGGAAGTCCTTGTGGTAGTCTGGCCTATGGCCCTCAAGCTGCTGACCATTTGCTTTTCCTCTCTGAGCCTTGGTTTTCTTTCTGTGAAACTGGGCACTTATGGGAGTGTCAGGGGTGCAAAGGCCAGGCTGTGGGATTCAGGAGGCCATGACTCACCGTCCGCTTCTTCTCAAATTCTCTCCAGACTCTGGCGGCTACTTGAGCCTCCTTCTGAGGAGAGAAGGAGGAGGGCGACTAAGGGAGTGCTGGACCCAAGGAGAGATGGGGAAACTGAGGCTCAAAGAGACACAGTGACCCCTCTAGGGAGCACTTCAGGGCTGATGTTGGCTCATGTGCGGTGGTGCCCGCCCAGGCTGGAGGAGGAAGAGTTTGGAGATCTAGACCTGATGGGTGTGCTGAGAGCCAGGGTCTGGCCACCTGGAAGGGCTGTGGGGCAAGGGTTTCCACCTGGTTGCTGACCTGGCTTTGGGGTGGGGGCAGTGAGGTCAGCAGGGCTTCCAGGTGCTGGAGCTTAGCCTGTGCAGAGCGCAACTCCTGCTGGAGCTCCAAGAACTCTGAATACTGGTCCTGGAACACAGCAGCGTAGCAACTCCGCTCCCTCTCACTGCTCACTGGTGGGTACTTACTGCTGGGGGGAGAGGGGAGTGTTGAAAGCAGGACAGAGTGTGAGTGCAAAGAATCCCTGCCTCTCCCCCAGTCAGTATGATTTGTTTTTCTTTGCTCATGTTGGGCTCACTGCTCAAAATGTCCTTTTTCTCTTACTTATTCACTTGTCAAAGCCCCAGACTCAGTGCCCCTTCACTGTCCCCAGACACCGGCAACCACACTGGGGACACTCACAGCTCATAGTCGGGCACTGGGTGGGGCCTAGGCATATGCTCCCCAGGGATGGATTCAACAGGCTTCTTGGTGCAGGGGAAGGTCCGGGAGGGCAGTTCATCCTCAAATACAATCTTCTTGGGCCTTGCCCTGGGAGCTCCTGGCTGCGGTTAGCACAGAGAACAGCGGACGCTGGTTTCAAATGAACGAGGCTATTGGGAAGCAGGGATCCTTTAAACTGGGGGTAAGGAATCCTCTGCCTAGGCTCGGCCTGGGGGACCCTCCTCCAGACTTACCGGAGGCCCTGGGCCAGGCGGGCGGAACTGCAGGTCCCCCCGGGAGCCGTGGGTGTGGGGGGGCCCCCGGGTGGGCATGGACCTCGGGAAGGAGCCGCTCGGGCGTCCCGGGGCCGACGGGCGGGTCCTGCGGGGGGCGTCGTGGCCCGCACGTGGCGGGGGCGGTCTGCGGGCGGCCTGTGAACAGGAGGACGCAGCTGAAGGGGGGACACGCATGAAGGGGGGCCCCGCTGCAGGACCCGCCGCAGGATCCGCGGAGAGCTAACCTGTGACAGCCAACTCCCAGCCCCTAGCGCGAGCCCCAACCCCGCTGATTTGCATAGATGCACACGATTGGTCCTCAGAGCACTCCGACTGCGGAACCCGGAAAGGCGCTATGCAAATGACCCTGACGCCGACGCGCGGCCGGGGCCTGGCTGGGGTTAGTCCCCGCGCTGCCCGGGGCTCGCCCACTGAGGCGCACGGAGTCCAGTGACACTGCCCCCGAGGAGACCCGAGGGCCCCCCGCTCGGGCTACGCGCCGCACGAACCGCTCCCGCCCGAGCTCCCGCTCCCGCCCGGAGTCACCTGTCCCAGCGTCCGGAGCTCGGTGCTTGGGTCCACTCTCCGCGCAGCCTGAGTACCAGTTACGCCTTAGCTGCAGGTTGGACCCAACTGCTGGGGTCGCTCCGCCAAGCGGGGGCGGGGCCGAGGGGCGGGGCGGGGCTGGCGGCGAGGGGGCGGGGCCTGGCGACGCGGGAAGCGGACTCACTGCCTTGATTGACTCCAGTTCCAGTCCTAGGAGGACCCCAACCTGCCGTGTGTTTGGGGCGGTGAGTCACCCTCTCTGAGCTTCAGTTTACTCGTCTGAAAACCGGTGGCTTTGGCGAACTTGCACCCATCTATTTACAAAGAAATTATATTTTAAAAAACATTCTCTAAATAACTAGCGGTATATTTATAAAGTTCAAACAATAGAAAAGCTGCATAGGGCAAAAGTGAATATCTCATCCGCTCAGAAGCAGCACTTCGTTGTGTCTCCTGGGGCGATCCTATTTCAATGACAAACAAATATAAATATTTTCCTCACTACAGACAATACTGCAAAAAATATTCACGTGCAAATTCCTTTGGCCACATATGGGGGAGGAAGTGGAATTGCCCCTGCAAGGCAAAGAGACCTCTGTATTTTAATTTGGGAAGATACTGTCAAGTTGTTTTCGATGGGGTTGTGCTGTTGATATAACCAGCAGTGAAACACTGGTTTCCCCAAACCTTTGCCAACCTGATGTTACCACGGTTTTCTGCAAATGTATTTTCAGTTTTAAACTTCGCTTAATCTGGTAAGTGAAAAAATTTAGAAATTGTATTTCTTATTTTCTGCAAATCTTTTTTGTCCTGTTGATTTTTTAGTAGCTCTTCCTCTATCAGGGAAGTTAGTTTAACCAGGTAGTGTATCTTCTTTGATGCTATGCAAATGACCATGCAGATGGGGAATCTTTCAATATATTTTGCAGCTTTTTTGCACATAGGAAACAAATTTATTTTTTTTTCATTTATTTTATTTCTTCCCCATCACCATTTATCCCTGCCATACCCTCTTCCACCTCCACCCACTCTAGGAAACTAATTTAAATATTCATTAAATCCCTTGTTTATTGAATTCTCTTATTAAAATAGCTTTTTAAAATGGTGATGGAAGGAGCCCTGGCCATTGTGGCTCAGTTGGTTAAGCATTACCCCATGCACCAAAAGGTCAAGGGTTCAGTTCCCAGTCAGGGCACATGCCTGGGTTGTGGGCTTGATCCCAAGTAGGGGGCAAGCAGGAGGCAGTTGATCAATATTTCTCTCACATTGATGTTTTTCTCTCTCTCCCATCCTTTCTCTAAAAATCAATAAAAACATAGTAAAAAAATAAATAAATGGTGATGGAAGGAGCCTTGACTTGGGGTGGTGAACACAATACAGTATACAGATGATGTATTATAGAATTGTACCCCTGAAACCTATATAATTTTATTAACCAATGTCACTCCAATTAATTCAATAAGAATTAAATAAGTAAAAATAAAAAATAGACTTTGTCTCTCATATAGTCATATCATCTGTAAATATTTTGCCTCTTTTCTAATTTTCCAGTCTCGTGTATTTTCTTGTCTAGTTGCATTGAACACCTCCTGACAATGTTAAATCATTGGGGGAGGTGGATGGGCCGTGGGCATCACCACCTCTTCACTTTGATGGCACAACTTTCATTATTTGCCCATTAAACTCAATGCTGCCTTTGCCTTGAGGCTTTGCAATTAAATGAGGGGGGAAAAAATCTCTCTCCTCATTTTGTATACTCTTTTGTATACTGTTCAGCAACAGTGCAAAGCACCATTTCACTGTTTACTCTGGTTGTTTCCTGATGCATTCATGTGGCTATTGACAGGCTCCCTAATACCGAACCACTCCTGGGGCTCAGGCACGAGTCTCCTTTAAATATATATATATTTATTGATTTCAGAGAGGAAGGGAGAGGGAGAGAGAGAAACATCAATGATGAGAGAATCATTGATCAGCTGCCTGCCTCCTGCACGCCCCCTACTGGGGATTGAGCCTGCAACCCCGGCATGTGCCCTTGACCGGAATCAAACCCGGGACCCTTCAGTCTGCAGGCCGATGCTCTATCCACTGAGCCTAACCAGCTTGGGCCAGGCGGGTCTTTATTTGAGTTTGGGCATGATTCGGATGAAGAGGATCATGCTGATGAAAATGAAGCAGACAATGATAAGCATCGCCCAAAGCAGCCAGTTGACGGATTTCTGTGTGTGCTGCTCCAGCCGTTCTGATTCTGTCTTCAGCTTCTCCAGGTTCTGGTCGGCCATCTTGAGTGAGTGCGACAGGGTCTACGGGTGAGAGTATTAAGAGGACTGGGGTGGAGTGTGGATTCTCCCTACTGCCCTGGGGCAAGCCAGCACCTCTTGGCCCTGGTGGGCGCTGGTTCCTCAGCTGGGAATCTTGTCTGCTACCAAATTTGCATTTATCCAGCCAAGTCCCAGCCACAATGCCCCTCTACTGGGAAACCTTCTCTGATGTCCCAGGGCAGAAGCCGCAGTTCCCACAGTCCTCACACCTGGTTGTCCTTCTTGATGACACTCTGGGCGGCCAGTGTGTTGGTCTTAAGGCTCCGGGCCAGGCCTAGCATTTCTTCTGCCAGCTTCTCCTGGAGGTTCTGGTGCTGCTGCAGGACGAGGTCTAGCTCGGCTGCCGACTGCTTCTCATCCCTGGGCCTGGGACCTGCCACCCCACTGACCTCACACACGGGTGGACAGGTGGACATGAGATGGGGGTGGGAGGTGGGGGAAGAGACAAACATGTTCCCAGGGAACCCAGAGGTTATGGCTGCAGCCACTGCCCCACTTGGGACTGTTTCCCCTTCTTTGCTTTGGCTTCTGGGTAAAGCATTCCCAGAAGTGGCGTCTGATGGGTGATTTAGACGCTTGTGGTGGCTCCTCAGTGGTCCAAGATTTGTCCAGCCCCCCCGTTCCCCCCCCCCCCCCCCCCGTGCTGCCCAAGGGCTGAGGACACTCACGTTCTCTTCCTCACATCCAGCTTGGGATCTGGAAGAGGAACAGCCCAAGCAGACAAGCAGGAGAGGATTGGCTCCTCTGCACCTGGTTTCTTGACCCATTACCTGGAGATGGGTCTGCTACCACCACAGGCCCTTTCCCCAACTTGTCCTGCTGCCCAGCAGGCTCCCTGATCACTCCCCCCCATCTGGGCTTCCCCTGCCCCAGGTCCCCTCCCTCTGGTTTCCTCTGGGGACCACTTCCTCTGTCCCAGCTGCCCTCTCCAGACATGACGTGGTAATGCCCCCAGGGACATTCCCTGGGCTGTGGAGGCCCCTGTGGGAGCCCAGATGAGGCACAAGGGATGGGGAGCAGCAAGCTCACATGTTACGTCCCAGGCAGTTGGGACGTGAGTCCTGTTCTGCTCCAGGCCCACTCACCTCCCAGCAGAGTCCTGTGGGAAAAAGGGACAGGCAGGAGGTCATCTACCTTGTCAGGCCCCCAAACCTGTCCTTTCTGCTCTCAGAACCTCTGTATCCTTAGTCAGGGCCCCGGGCAAGTCCCACAACCTCTGACCCTCAGTTTCCTCAACTATTAATAATGACAGCAGCTCATATTTTGAATGATTTAGCTGATCTATGGAAAGTTCTCAGAAAGGGATCTGTCATCCTATTTTACAGATGGAAAAATCTTGTCTATCTGTGGCAGGTGGCAAGCCAGGAGCCAAATCTTGCACTTAACCAGACATGGGCACCTTTTGCCACGTACCAAACAAATTCCTTTTCCCCTAGCAAAACCCTGACCAGAATGCCCCTCTGGTGGGATGCCTTGTTTCATGGCCCAGGGCAGAGGCCCCTAGGGTCCCTGTATCTGACGGAAGGGTTCCCAAGGACCAGGGAGGGTGCCCTACCATGCCCAGCAGCTCACTCCGCATCTCGCTGGTGTACCGTGCCCGTGACTGCAGATGGACCGTCTTGGTGGCGGGCACCCGCTCCCTGGCCGTGGTGGGCACTCGGCCGGGGGCCAGGAACTGGTTGGCTAGTGCCTTCTCGGAGGAGGACGTCTACAGGAGAGGGAGGAGGCGTCACAACAGGAACAGGTCCTGGGGACTCAGAGAGCTTGCTGAGGGCTGAGAAGGCCGTGGAAGAGGTGCCTGTGCTCACCAGCTTCTCCGCCTGCAGCATCCCCTTCAGAAAGTCCACCTTGCGGGAATATTCATTGATCACTTCACAGACCGGTTTGCTGGATGGCGAGATGCAGAAAAAGAAAACCTGTCCGCTGTCCCCAGTTCAGAGAAAGGTCCCAGCAAGGACTGGAGCCTCGGGGCCCCCTACAGCACCTGCCTCCCGCCCCCCGCGGCCTCTACCCTCTCATATGAACCTTCTGGCCGCCTGCACTCACCTCGTCTGGGCTTTCAGGGCCTGCAGCATGTCCTCGAGGGCTCCCACGTACTGGGGAGAACAAGTGGGTGTCAGCCTGCACCCCCCTTCCTCCCCATCTTGCTCGAAGCGGGCAGAGCCAAGGAGGCGTTAGGGGCTGGAAAACGAAAGGGGCCCATGTCGAGGAGGCGGGGACCAGCTGAGCCCCAGGGACGAGGGTGAACGAAGCGGGTGGACGTGGCGGCGCCCACCGAAGGGGCGTGGCCAGGGCGGCTGGTGGGGGGCGGGGTCCGGCTGTAGCCCCGGGCACCTCCCTAAGGGAGTCGAGCTCTAAGCGGCAATGCAGGGCCCCCACCTTCTCTAGACGCCATTCTTCCGGGTCCCGCTTCTCTGCTGCCATCGCCTCGCAGCGGCACAGCAGCCGCACCAGGTTCAGCTCCAGCCTGGACGCAGCCATCACCGACCGGCGGTACCGCCCCTTCCGCCGGCAGCACCCGCCCCTTCCGCCCGCGCCCTCTTGAGGGCGGAAGTGCCTTCATTTGACCTCCTTCCGGGTGGGCGTGCCCTCTCTCTCTCTCTCTCTCTCTCTCTCGCAGTCCCAGCTTTAGAGCGGGAGTAACGTCTTGTTTCCTGGAGAGGCCACCGGGTCCATATTTAGTCAGGGCCGGACCGCCAGCTTTCGTCGTGGCCATCTCAACCCTTAACGAAAGGTTGAGGACCGCGTAGGTCCTTCGGTGTCAGGCGCACGTGCAACCTGATCACTCCCCCCGCCCCCCCTTCAGTCTCTGCTCACTCCCCCCGCCCCCACTTCAAAATTCCTCACCACACTCACTCCTGGCTGGGTTCTTCCCACACCCCAGCAGCCTTCCCCCTAGTTCTTTCGGGAAGGGGTTGGGTTCTTTCGGAATCCATGGGTTGGGTTCCCATCCGAACTTACGTGGTTACGAGCACCTGGTTCCCAACCCCGACTCTGATTCAACCCTCCAGCCCTTTCTTGGGAAGTGGGCAGCGGGACGGTGTCGCTTCAAGGGGGACACAGGTTAGCCCTTGGAGTGAGATGGGGCTGGGTCACCCCTAAGGCTCAGACCCCCATGGAAAGAACCCAGTCCTAGCCCCCCGGCCCCCCAGGGAGCCAAGGCTCATCCTGAGCAGACAGAGTGAATGAAGATGGAGGCTGCACAGAGACAACTCTGGAGTGCAAACGTTTTATCTTCCCAGCCCCAGGTCACCTGTGTTCCCATCACACCAGTAGGCCTGGTGTCTTCAAAGGATACAACGGATGAAACCAAGCCCAGGACGGATAAAGGGACACTCTAGAGCAGTGGTCCGCGGACCACTGGCGACAGCTGCTCCAGAGGCAGTAAGTTTTGAATCCCAGCCATGCTCCATCCCAGCGTGTGACTTTGGACAATTCCCTAACTAACATGTGCAGTCTTCACTGCTCCCACCTGCCAGCCAGCTCCCACAACTGCCCCCGTTTGCAGCTTGGGAGCCTGTATGTGGGGACGTTGTTCCTGGCTCTGTGAGGCCCTCAGGGTGGATGGCTCTGGCTGGGGTTAGGCTGCAAGAGGGTGACAAAGAGGCGGCTCCCAGGACAGCAGGCTCTTTTCACTGAATGTAGCTCCAGGTACTCCCTGCTCCCTCTGGTTTCTGGATCAATATGCATGAGCCTCCAGCAGGCCCAACCCCCCCAGGGATGGATACGTGTGCAATTCCAACAGCAGTGACAGCAGTGTTCGCTGCAGGAGCAAGGCAGGTCCTTCCAGAGGAGACCACAACCCTGCTGCCCATGCTCCTCCCACCCAGAGCAGGTATCACATCAAACACCTCAGACACCTTTTCTTTATTTCACATGGTTTGTAGGACACCTCTAGTCCCAGACCCAGGGCCATCTGTCCAGGTGTCCAGGGAGTGAGAGGAGCCTGAGAGACAGGAGCCCCGCTCTGGAGGTCCCCAGGCTGTTCCCAGGGATGTGCAAACTCAGGCCTCGCCCTCCTCGCCCTTGAGCAGTCCTGAGTTCCTGTTCTGCCACATGGGGCAGGCAGTGCCAAGGGTGGCCTCCTCCACTCAGGGAACAGTGGACAGAGCGATGACCACATTTGAGTCACCCTGGATGTGAGGTCTGTGGTACCCCAGGTGAAGGCTGCCCCCCACCTCATGTCCTCACTCCAGCCAACAGCCTGGATCACCATGGAAAGCTCCATTGCTTCTTTGAATGCACGGGGGCTGATGACTGCTGGCCAGGCCTGAGGATGAGACCCAGACAGACTGGGACAGTCAGGTGCCCCAATTGTCCAAACCCCTGGTCCAAGCCGTCCTCACTGTGGGCCTGAGCCTTCGAGGTGAGGCGGCCATGTGGGTTTTGCTCTGAAGTCCGTGTCCAGGTTATAAAGGCGAGGCAGGGCGTTAATACAAAGTTTGTACATACACATATAAAAAACAGTTTGGTCTTCTGTTAAGGCTGTTACAGTTTAAAGTTATGTAAACCACGCACAAGGTAACAGTTAACTGTAAAACCGTACAAAACGTACAAAACGGGTGGGAGAGGCCAGGCTGCCTGCCAGGATTTGGGGCTCTCGGCGGCACATCTGTGTGAAACCGGGGCTCAGCCCCGGCCGGCCTCTCCCTGCTGGACTCTGCAGTTGGAGCCAGTGCCCACCGCACATTGCTCTTGGAGCTTTTCATTCCAGATCCTTCTCGGAGAGCCGAATGCTGGCGCTCCGGCACACGGCTGTCCTCAGATGTTCTGACTCTGGTACTGCGGGCCTTCAGCCATTGGCCTGGCCTGAGGTGGGGGGCAGGCAGTAGGTCGGGGGGTCTGAGTACCTGCGTTTGGCCCCAGGTGGCTGGTCATCCTTGTCCAGGGGCTCCTGAGTGCCCTGCACAGGCAGGTGTGCGCCCGGTGTGATATACACAGAGTGTATCTGGTCCGGGCGTCGGGCAGGTGTCTCTCGGCGCCTCACTAGCATGGCAGCCTCCTGGGCACCTGGTGTCTGACCAGGGAGGTAGGAGGGCAGGCCAGGGGGGAGCTTGATGTTGGCTGTGGGCATGATGGGGGTCCGCCGGGGAGTCTTCACTCTGACCGTCATGAAGGACGACGGCCTTCGTCTTGGAGAGGCGGCCACCTCGGGGAGGGGGCTCGGGGCAGGTGCACTGGGGCAGGGGAGAGCAGGTGCGGGGGGTCCTTTTGAGAGACAGATGGCAGGGTTACTGCAGCTTCAGGCTGGCAGACAGACCCTTGCCCGGGGGCCTGCCAGGGGTGGACATGGGAGGAAAAAAGCAGACGCTACCTTAATACTGACCTTCCGAGGTCCCCCGCCCGGCCCGCTCTTCCAATAGACTCTCGGTGCTGGCCGAAGTCTCCGAGTCCAGGTTCTCCTCGTCAGAGCCCCGAGGGTCCAGCTCTGGCAGCCGGTAGGTGATATCCTCCCTGGGAACGAGAGGGGTCCCAGGTCCCAGGCTGTTCCCATAGTGACAGACCACCCCATGGAAAGTACCAGGACAGTATGGACAGAGCAGGACATCCTGGTCCTGGACAGGACTCCCTGCCTCCAGAACGCCCCACCCCCAAAGCATACCCGGCCCCAAAGGCCCCGGCCCCGCAAAGCTCACAGGAAGAAGGTGTCGGGCTGTTGAGGGAAGCCGGGCACCTGGCCCAGGACTGAGCAAGCGAGGAGCTCCTGCCTTAGGACTTTGCACGTGTTGTTCCCTCTGCCTGGAGCGCCCTACTCTGTAAGACGAGGGTGGCCAGCTGCCCTGGGTCACATCTGTTCTCCTGGCACAATTTCACACTCACATCTCAACTGGACACAAATTAATCAGTCACCCCAGCTAAGGCCACCTTCAAGACCAAGTCTGAACATCATCCCTGTTGCCCTTTCTCTCCCAGTGGGCACCATGGTTCCCTGTGGTAAAGAAGGAATTTAAACAGAGCTCCAGGCTGTGTTTTACTCCATGAGGTGGGTCCTAGGCGGCAGGACTGAGCCTGGGCCATTGGCTCCAGAGTGCATAGTGGAGGGACTGGTGGAGAGGCTGGATGGTGCAGACGAGGGCGGGAAGGGGATGGAGGGACACTTGCTTCTCCTCCTTGATGGACTGGATCCGCTCGATGAGGATCTCCTTCTCCCGGTCCTCGTCCTCATCGTGGCCGGCTGCCTCCTCCTCTGGCAGCACCCCGAGCTCCTCTGGGCCGCTGCTGCTTCCCCGGGCTGTGGGGCTCTTGTTCTGCAACAGAGAAGCAGCAGGTTTGGCGGCCCCTCCAGGCGGGTGGGGTCAGTGCTTGTGGGTGGAGAGAGGGTGGCGTGCACAGCTCGAGGGGTGGTTAGTTCTGCTGTGGCTGGCTGGCTGGGCTTAGTGAGGCTTCTCCAGGAACCACTCTAACCAAGGGGCCCTGGCACAGCTGGTTAGTTGTCCTCAACACAGGTGGTCAACAGGCAACAGGCCTCCCCCAGCATGCAGTTCCAGAGGTTAGGCCATGCTGGGCCTACCCTACGAGGACCCTGGGGGCAGAGGGGAACCCCAGCATGCACTACACTGAAGACATGCAGGGTGGGCCCACCAATTGTGTACATACCAGGACCCCCTCATAGGGAGACGAAAACCCCAATTTGAGAGGCCATGGCTGGGGGGAGAGATGAACAGAGGGTGACCACATGGGACCACGACGAAGACACCAGTTCTGTTATGGTCCACGGGGACAAGGGCATGTCCTCCCATGGAAGCTCGGGACCTGCCCTTTTAAATCCCTCCCACCCCCCACTCTGGGGCCACTTCTGTGGGATCAGTCCCCTATGGGCGGGGCCCAAGTCAGCAAGGACCAGGGCAGGAGGATGTAACACCACCAAGTGGGTGACGGTCTCCCACTGCCCTGAGAGGGGCAGTCGGCAAAGAGGACAGGGCAGTAGTCATTTGGTTGAGGTAGGAATCGGCCCTGGACCAAGCTGCCTGTGGCAGGGGTGTTGGTGGTAAGGGAAGTGAGACCCCGCCCTGACACCCAAGCCCTGCTCACAGGGCCACTCCCACCCAGGCCACATTCCAACCACATCCCCACGGAGGACCCCACCACACAAAGTGCTCACAGTGTTCTGTCGCAGGAGCGAGAGCCTGCGGAAGGCAATGCTCTCGGCGGCCTCCAGCTGGCTGATCTCATCCATCTTCACCTTGTACTTCCTCATCTGTTCTTTGATCAGCATCTCTACGCACCTGTGACGAAGGCCCATGGAGAGGGTGACTCAGATACGGTGCCAGGGATGGCTGGCCGGGGGACCTGGTATCCAGGGAGGTGTTGGCTGGAGATGGCACCATGGCCAAGGCAGAGACCCATCCGGAGACCAGGCAGGGCCAGGGATATGGCTGCAGCTGCCATCTTGACCCCAGCTGACTGGCTGGGTGACCCTGGACGACTCACTCCACCTCTCTGAGCCCGAGTTTCCACCTCAACACGCCTCCTTGTCGGAAGGAAGAAGTACGCACAGAGGGTCGGAGTGAACCGACTCCTCAGTCACGCTGCAGGGTGGGGATTATCGCATTTCACAGAGAAGTACTAGTATGAAGTGCAGGGAGGCTGGGCAACTTGTCCTAAGGCCTGCAGGCAGCTGGCCCTCAGGGCTCCAGAACATGCACTGTAACCAGCAGTTCATCTGCTCAGTGGTCAGGGCCAGCCTGGAGCGGTCAGTACTGAGGGACTCCACCTGGAGTATTCAGCACGGAGGGCACTAGGCCTGGATGGACGACCAGTCACACTCATTTTCCCGTCACCAGAGCACAAAGGAAGAAAGGAGCACAGACGGTGCTGGAAGAGGCTGGAAGCAAACCTGTCGGGCCAGCCAGGCCCCTCTGTTCCCACTGCCTGCCTGTCACCTTTTAGTCGTTGTGACAAGTGTGGCCTTGGGCTGCACTGTTAGGCCTTCTTGGTGTGTTTGCCCCATGAAACCACCTACAGCGACAGGTTCTTGTTTTCTCAAGTCACCTACACTATGTCCCCTTAGTGACTGATGTCTGACGATCTTCTGAGGAACATTTAAAAAAAATTTTTAAAAAATATATTTTTATTGATTTCAGAGAGGAAGGGAGAGGAAGAGAGAGAGAAACATCAATGATGAGAGAGAATTATTGATCGGCTGCCTCCTGCACACCCCCTACTGGGGATCAAGCCCGAAACCCGGGCCTGTGCCCTTGACTGGAATTGAACCCGGGACCCTTCAGTCCTCAGGCCGACACTCTATCCACTGAACCAAGCCAGCCAGGGCCTTTTGAGAAATTTCTGGAGAATTTTGCAGAAGGCTCAGGGGAAAGGAGAAACCTGGAGACCAGCGCTTCTGTTTGCTACCAGCTCTCTGCTGCCGGAGGGGAGTACATTGGCTGCATGTCTGTCCCTCACCCTGGGATGAGGGGTGAGGTCTTCCCCTCCTTCATAGTCTTCAGCCTCAAAAGAACTCGGAAGGGTCCCTGGCATGGCCACCCAGAGTGTGTGTGGGGGAGGGCTGGCCCGGCACTCACGTGGTGATCTTAAGGACGTCCTTCATGCTGGTCAGCGGGTCTGAGTTGTCAGGGCAGCGCAGGAGGCAGGGTGCAAAGATGATGGCCAGTGCACTGGGCGACATGCGGTTCACGTCCTCGAGCAGGGCCACCCTGCGCAGCGAGCGGCAGTTAGGGAGGGGTGGCCGGGGGATCCCCCCAGACCCTCAACATGGCCCCACGTCCTGGTGCAGAACCAGCAGAGAACACTCGCCGGGAGTGGGCAGTGGGGCCTCCTGCAGGGACCCCCCATCCCACAGAGAGTGGCAGCGGGCACTTGCTTGACCAGGTGGAAGATGAGTCGCTCCAAGGAGTTGTGATTGGCTTCCGGCAGGTGCTCCAGGACGGCATAGATGGCGGCCAGTTGTTCCTGCTTCTCTGGCAGCTCTAGGAAGGCCAAGGTATCAGCTCCCTGCAGGCCCCACCTCCACACACCGTGGGGACAGGAGAGCCTCCACCGTGTGGGGCAAGAATGCAGGGCCACAGACGGTCTGGGTCCCACCCCAGGCCTTGGTTTCTTAGCTGTGACTGGGTGGTCCCGCCTCCCTGGCTGGCCACAGGGTGCTCATGCCTACGACCCCGATATCAACCACCTGCCTGCCCTTCCACCATCACAGGACTCACCCACAGCTCGGAGGAAGTCGCCATACTGGGCGAAGGTCATGAGGGGTTCGGGCAGCTCCCTCAGCCACTGCTTGAGCACCCCGGTGATGGCGTGGATGGGGAAGTTATCCAGCTTGACTGTCGAGGGGTCTGAGGGAAGGGTGGGCAGGGCCGGTGAGCACAGTGCAGGCAGGAGCCCTGCCTGTGCGCAGGTCCCACCTGCCGTATCACCCACCTGTCTGCAGCGCTTGCCGGAGCTCCCGCGTGCGGTTGGCAGCGCCTGACTTGCGGTAGAGGCCCTCGGTGTATAGGCCGTGCATCTCCACGTGTTCCAGAAGCTTCTCCAGTACGATGGGCACCGAAGCCTTGTCACTGGTTAAGCTGTCCACGCACACGCCGAAGTGGCCCGGCTCGGTCCCCGGCTCGCTCTGCAATCCCGGGGTCGGGGGTGAAGCCTGGGTTAGCTGCCTCCCTGGCTGCCCTCAGCCTCCTCTGTGGCTCCACCCCTCTGGCCCTCATTCCCCGTTGCAGGCTGCAGAGGTCAGATCAAGGGCCACGGGGCAGGGACTCCCTATGAGGAGCACCCACGGTCCTCTCAGAGCCGTCAGCCCCAGCTCCTGCCTCCGCCCAGTGCTCAGGACCCCGCCTTCCTTGTGGGCACAGTGAGGGGGATTCCCTCCACCACCCAGGGAAGGGAAAAGCAGGGCCAGGTCTGAGATGCCACACAAGCCTGGCCCCTGCCTTAGGGGCTCAGGCAGAACCGGATGTGCCAGGTTGGGGTCACCTGGGCCTGACCTACTGTTGTTTTGCACAGCTCCCGGCCGAGATGGGCTCACCTTCCTCCCACATGGATAGGAGCAGTAGGTCTGAATCTTGTGCATGCACTTCTTGTGGCAGGTCATCTTGCACACTAGGAGGTCATGGTGGGGCAGGGCGGGGGAGGGTGGTCACAGACGGAGCATTAGGGACCCCAGGTTCCCGTGGCTGCCCGTCCCAATGGCCAAGGGGACAGGGACCCGCCAACTGAATTCTAAACTTGCACCACACAAATCTCTGCCCTGGTTCCCAGACCGGGGGGCTGTGTTGGCAGATGTTCGTAGCTGGTGGTCCTCAGAGCCAGCCTGGTCAGTGCGACAGGAGCAAGGGCTCAGGGGCCTACGCCTCAGTCCTGCCAGGGGGTAGCCCCTAGGATTTGGCCTGTGATAGTGGTATGAGTGATGTTGGTTTTGTTTCTCCCAACCACACCAAACACCAGACTAGGGGAATATCATGCATGGAAAGAAAAAATCAGCTACAATAAACAATAGGTGGCACCGGGGCGCATCCTCATCTCAGCACAGTGACAACTGCTGAGGTATTTATGGCAGGTATGGGAGGGAGAACTGCTCACACATGGCCCAGAGGGAGAGGAGGAGACCCTGTGTGGAAAAGAAAGCCAGGCCTGGCTGATCCCAGGAAAATGCAAGTGCTGGGTTGCTCCTGTCCACCTGACCGAGGGTCTGCTGGTGGGGACTGACTGGCTTCCCCTGGAACATGTGGGAGGGGCCGGCAGCTCAGGTGTGTGCACAAAGGCCCAGAGGTGGGACACAGGGGGACCTGCTCTGGCGCGGGGTGGAGTGGGTGAGATGCGGCTGTGGGGAAGGCCCTGGTGCTCAGCAAGGGGTTGGGAACATGGTGGCAGAGTTGGGGGCACTGTGAGGGGTGAGAGGGTACCGAGGGGGTCAGGAGGTACAGGGGCAGTCTGGAGATTTGGTGGAGGGTCAGGGGTTACCATGGGTTATAATGGGTAATCAGGGGTTTGGTGGAGGGTTGGGGGCGTGGTGGAGGGGTCAGGGGTACAGTACGGGGGGAGAGCTGGAGTTCTGGGACACTCACCGCTGCAGATCAGGGCCTTGTCCATGAGCCAGATGTAGGAGAGGCACTGCTCGCACGACTGCGGGATGCTCACCTGGTAGCTGGCGAACACGTGCCCATTGTGCTGCTGGACCTGGGGACCGAGGAGGGTGCTGAGCAGCATCTCAGGGCCAGGGGCTACTCACTCACAGCTGGTTTCTTTAGGACGGGGCGGGAAAACACACGCTCACCTGCACACACACACACACACACACACACACACGAGTGTGCACACTCATACTTACAGCTCGTTCCTGCTTCCGCTTCTTCTTCTGAGCTTTGCTTTGCTGTGAGGGAGCACAAGGCAGGTCTGTGTGGGCCCCTGGGGTAACCCTTTCCCCAGATGCCCCCCCACACCATGCTGGGACCCTGCTTATACTCAGAGTGGCTCCACCAACCTTGGGCAGCTCGAAATCATTCTTGCTATGCCCACGGGTGAACTCATCTAGCAGGGACTGGAAGAGGTTGAGGACCAGGTTGGGGTCCTTCTCGCCGCGCTCGGCCGCCAGGTTGCTCACAACAATCTGGTAGTTCTCCATCAGGTCCTTATAGCCGACGTGGATCTTCCCGTTCTGCAAGGATGGAAGGTGTGACTCCCCTGGACAGACTGATGGGGGTGGGGGTGGGGGCAAGGTGCGTCCTGGGGAAGGCTGGGTGATTGCCAGGGCCCCCCTGGGGCTGGGGTCACACATACAGGGACTGAGTACATGGTCTTGAGGTTGCTCCTGAACTTCTCTGTGGCCTCGATGAACAAGCTCTCGATGGGTGTCTTCTGGGAACGCAGGTCATTTATCTGTGGAGGGGGAGGAAAGGAGAGACCCACTGACCCTGTGCCTCCTCAGGTTGGGCATCTGAGTGGTCACCACTCTGCCCATCCCAACCCCTTCCCTGGTTCCCCTGGGCTCACAGGAGAAAATTAGGGCTCTCTGGCCAACTCTGGTCTCTCCGGTCCATTTAGCCCAGGTTCAAACTGTTGACATTTGGGGCTGGATCACTCGCTGGGGATTGTGGGGCGGGAGGGGGCAGGGGCGGAGAAAAGCAGGACTCCTGGTCTCTACACACCAAATGCCAGTAGCACCCTCAGCTGTGAGGACTAAAGACATGTGCAGACGTTGCAAAGTCCCCTAAGGCAGAACTGCCACACAAGCACTTGACCCTGGACAGGCCCCAGGACCAGGGCTGCTCAATAGCCTGATTATTTTTTTTTTTTAAATATATTTTATTGATTTTTTACAGAGAGGAAGGGAGAGAGATAGATAGTTAGAAACATCGATGGGAGAGAAACATCGACCAGCTGCCTCCTGCACATCTCCCATGGGGGATGTGCCCGCAACCCAGGTACATGCCCTTGACCGGAATCGAACCCGGGACCTTTCAGTCCGCAGGCCGACGCTCTATCCACTGAGCCAAACCGGTTTTGGCAGCCTGATTATTTCCTGATGCATCCACCCTCTGCAGGGTCCCTGCCAGCTTGCGGTGCCTCTGAGAAGCTCCCGATCCTGTCCTGTCTGCTGTGGGCTTTTCCACAGCCGGAGCCGTGAGCACCACGAGGCCATGTCACCTCAGCGGCACAAGTAAGCGTCCAATCAGTATCAGCCACGAGACCCAATGCATTTTGTAAAAGCTTATTCTAAACAAAATAAGTTCATGGCCACGGCTGGGCTATGGCTGAGTCACAGTGAGGATGATGGACTGAGAGACAGTCCAGTGGGACATAGGTGTGTCCTGCGTAGGTTATTCCGGATCTTGGTGTTTCTGTGTCCTTGTGTGTGTGAGCAAGAGGGGCAACTGCCCTCAGAGGTCACTGCGATACAACAGATGAAGCGTCTAAGTGTCTTCTAACTGCAGGTTTCAAACATCCTGGGCAGGAACCGCAGGATATGAGACAATGCCTGAGCGTGTGCACGTGAGACAATTCCAGCACAGGTTACAACCCCTAGCCATGGCCCCTGGGACAGGTTCATCCCTGAACCAGATGCTTTTAAAAAAAAATATATATATTTTTATTGATTTCAGAGAGGAAGGGAGAGGAAGAGAGACAGATGCATCAATGATGAGAGAGGATCATGGATCGGCTGCCTCCTGCATGCCCCACACTGGGGATCCAGTCTGTAACTCAGATATGTGCCCTGACCAGGAATTGGACCCTGGACTCTTCAGTCTACAGGCCGACGCTCTACCCACTGAGCCAAACGGGCCAGGGCTCAGATGCTTTGGCTTGTAACACAGTTCTGCACATTGTGTCCAGCCCCTAATAAGACCTCACAGACATTTTGCAGAGAAATTTAAATAAAGTTGGCCCTCCATAGCCATGGCTTCCACATCTGTAGATTTAACCGATTCAGAAAACAAAAACAAAACACAACACCCTGGAAAGTTCAAAAAGCAAAACTTGAATTTGCCACGTGCTGAGCACGACTCGGAATCCATGAGTGAGGTGACGTGTCGGCACACCCTGCTGTAGCCTACATAAAAGTGTAAGGGACTTGAACATCCACGGATTTTGCTATCTACGGGGGTCCTGGAACCAATCCCCTCAGATGCTGAGGAACACCTGTACCTGGGCTGACCAAGGTGAATATAAGTTACAAGTGGTCTTGTGTGAGCCCAGGCCAGGTTTACAGGAAACGTCACTTCCTGTGCTAGAACGGTGCCCCTGAACACTTTGCCGGGTGGTGACAGCCTGGGTGGCCCGGATCTGAGCCTGCGCACATACCCCACCCTGTGCATGTCTTGTGCCCCCTGAACCCTCGCTGGCCGACCTTGTTGAGCAGGAACTCATCCAGGTACTTGAGCTCGTTGGCATTGGTGATCTGGCGGAACACCGACTCCCGCCACTTCTCTGACACCGTGATCCTGCCAATCTTGAGGTTTCGGTTTTTCTTCCCTTTGCCTCCTGTCTCCTTGGTGTGCTTCTCGCCCGTGGCGTGGCGGTGCTGGTGGCCCGATGGGGCTGTGGGGAGAAGGAGTGGCTGGTGAGGGTGGGTTCTGGGGGGACGATGGTCAGCCTCTCGGGCCTGGTCACAAAGGGAGCCAGGACCCCTATTGCTGTAAACGGATCCACAACCAGAAAGTGCCTCCAAGGGAGGAACCAGCCCCGAGGCGTGTGCCCAAGGCCTCACTGGGGATGGATGTCCCCAGGGCCCCCGGGCTCTGCCGTCCATCCCCGAGGCTTCGGGTGACCGACCTTCTAGATTCTTCTTCATGGTGACGGCTTCCAGCACGATGTGCCCGGGGACTGAGCTCTCTGCCTCCTCCGTGCCCTCCAGGCTGTACTTTTTATCCTTGTTCTTATGCAGGAAAAGTCTCTTAAATGTGGACCTGAAGGAGAAAGTCAGGGTTTCTGTTTAAGCCGCAGGAAACAAAAAAAGATATAAGGCCAAGGAAAGGGCCAGCTTACCATAAAGAAAAATACCCCTTCTCTGTTATTGATGGAATCGGGTGCTTCTAAAAATAAGGTCGCCCTAGCTGGATTGGCTCAGTGGATAGAGTGTCGGCCTGCGGACTGAAGGGTCTGAGGTTCGATTCCAGTCAAGGGCACATGCCTGGGTTGTGGGCTCAATCTCCAGTAGGGGGCATGCAGGAGGCAGCCGATCAATGATTCTCTCTCATCATTGATGTTTCTATCTCTCTCTCCCTCTCCTTTCTTCTCTGAAATCAATAAAAAAAAAAAAAATAAGGTCAATTTTCGTGAACTGACGGTGGAGTGAGGTGAAAAAGCAAGATGCCAATCAGATGCTGACCCCATATTCATACGAAAAAATAAATAAAACCACCCCGTCTTCCTCATGTTTTTATGGTACAAGGTTAGAGGAAAAAAATGACAAAAAATAAACACAAAGTCGTGCGCTGTGGCTACTGTGTACATGGGGAGGTGAAAAGCTGTGTCTAAGTGCTGACCCTCAGAGGCTATGAGCACGATCGTATTTGGAGAAGGGTTTTTGCAGATGTGATCACGTGTAATAGACTGTCTGTGAGTGTCTCCCCAAATTCATACGCTGAAGTTGATGCCACCTGCCTGATTGTGTGCTGGTCGCCAGGGTGGCACTTCAGAGATCGTGATGGGCTGGGTTTGTGAAAGGATCAACATGCCTTTGGCTAGAGACTTACCACATCCATCCTTGGAAGAGGAAAGGAAAAACTTAAAAAAATTGCTAGTTTAAATCCAAATTCTTACTTTATGTATGTAAAATGTCCAGGTTGCTGCAAGATCACCACAATTTTGTTGTTGTTAATCCTCACCCAAGGATATTTTTTCCATTTTTAGAGAGTGGAAGGGAGGGAGTGGTGGAGGGGAAGAAAGAGAGAGAGAGAGAAATGTAAAAGAGACATATTGATTGGCTGCCTCTCGTATGTGCCCTGACCAGGGCCAGGGATCGAACCTGCAACCCAAGTATGTGTCTTTGGCCAGGAATCGAACCTGTGACCCCTCGGTGCCCGGGCCAATAGTCTAAACACTGACCCCAAAGAAAAATAAAAACAAACAAACAAACAAAAACACAAAAATACAAAAAATAAATAAATAAAATAAGATAAACACTGACCCACACCGGCCAGGGCAAGGCCACCCCTTTCCAGCCAAGCTCAGACAGCGGCTCTTTGTGTAGGTTGTTAACAGGGTTGTGCCGCTGACAGGAGGAAAGGCTAGACTCACAGCAGGTGGGTGATCATTTAGAAGAACACAACACTAATGATCCACACAACTTCCTGAATTTTTGTTACATCACAGAAAACCTTATCAGTTCAGTAATTCTAGTTAATCTACCAAGATAAAGTAACTACATTTAATTTTGAGTATACAGCAGTGATCTCCTATTTTGGTGTCCGTTTTTCAATAAAGTTTTGATTATTGGCAAAAAATCCAATCATATGCTGAAGCCTAATCCCCAGTGTGATGTTATTAGGAGGTGGGGCCTTTGGGAGGTGAGTGGACTGTTAAGGGTGGAGCCCTCGGGATGGGATTATGCCTGCCGTTTAAGCTGCTCATTCTGTGGTATTTTGTTATAGCAACCGGAATGGACTAACACACTAAGTGAAAGATCTCAAGATGAGGTCATCTGGGTTACCCAGGTGGGGACAAGTACCCTTATGAGACAGAAAAAGAGATGACAGAGGAGAAGGTCATGTGACAACAGAGGCAGAGATTGAACGAATGCATCCACAGCCAAGGGCACCTGGAGTCCCTAGAGCGGGAAGAGGCAGGAAGCGTGCTCCCTTAGCGCCCTGCATGAAGCGTGCTCCCTTAGCGCCTCGGCAGGAAGTGTGCTCCCTTAGCGCCTCGGCAGGAAGCGTGCCCATGGCACCTGGATTTTGGACTTGTGGCCTCCAGGACGGTGAGGGAAAAATGTCCATTGTCTGAAGCCACTCTACTGGTGGTTCTTTGCTTTGGTGGTGGGGTGTCTCTGCAGTGGGGACTCTGCCTCCCACTCCAGCCTGTTCTTCACCCTCCCTCTCCACAGCCCACCTTCTCTGCCCTGGGATGGAACCATCCGTAGCTCTTGGGCAGGAGCTTCTGGGGACGAAGTCTTGGCCTAGATTTTCTATCCGAGGACCCAGGAGGTGTTGGAGGTAGGGACGGGGCAGCTGGTTCTGATTCCATAAAAAGCCCAATGGAACCCATCTGTGACCCTGAGGAGGTGACAGATTGGCTCTAGGCATCAGTGGAATCGTTTCATCCTGATGCTGACAGGACCTGGGCTCCATGAGGGCCTCTTGTTATAGAACTGCCACTGAGCAAGCACCTGCCTGACGCAGTTTTGTAACTGTCATTGGTGTAGGAGACCAGAGCACTCCAAAACTGGAGGCCTGAGCCACCCCCAAACCCCACACTCACTTAGAGTCCGCCTGGGAGCCTGGGGACAGCCCTGAGTCTGTGCAGGTAGATGCATCGCCCGACTTCTTCTTCTGGACGGCCGCCTTCTTCGTGCTGGGCTCGCCATCCACGCTTTCCGACAGAGGCTGGGAGAGAACGGGGCCAGGTAAGCAAAGGCGGTGCCTTGCTGGAGGAAAGCAAGGGGTCCCAGCCTCACCGTGTGCTCTGTCCACTGACTCCCCTTCTCGCTCTCTCTCTTTCTAATGGATTTTTTGAGAGAGAGAGAGAGGAAGGGAGAAGGATAGAGAGAAACATCAAGGGTGAGAGAGAATCACTGATTGGCTGCCTCCTGCACGCCCCCTATGGGGGGTTGAGCCTGCAACCCGGGCATGTGCCCCAACCGGGAATTGAACCATCAACCTCTTGGTTCATGGGTCAGCACTCAACCAGGTGAGCCCCCTTCTCTCTCCAGCTGCCCTTTGGGGCTGAGGTGAGCCTGGACCCTGAGGGGAGAGAGCTGCAGCCTGAAGCTTTACCTGAGTCTTGGCCTGGGCCGGGAGGAGCTTGGAGACATCACTGGTGGATAATGAAAGGCGCCTCTCCCTGCGAGATCACAGAAATGTGGCTTTTATAGGCAAGAAAGAGTTTGGATGTATTTTTCGTTGTTGTAACTGGAGGGTAATTCTATTGGCATCTGGTGGGTAGAGACTGGGGGTGCTGCTCTGTACCCCGCAGTGCATGAGATGGCCTCACCGGAGAGCGAGCTAGCCCCAGGCGCGGCCCTAACAGAAGCCCGCCTCCACTTCACTCTTCTTTCCTCCCGCCCAGTGGGCCTCTGGGACAAGGGTCTGGTCCTGGAGTCACCGATATTTAGGTATAGGGTCAGGCAGGGCATGCTGAGAGCGGGGTGCTCCTCTCACAGCTCCTGAGCAAGTGCAGTGACCCCCATTCACTGATGAGGAAACTGAGGCCCAGGTGGGGTGGGGAGTGGGGCCCCTGACCGGAGGGGCCTCGTCCCTGGAGGCCAGGCACATTCTGAGTAAACACAGCTTATTTCCATGGGAAACCCAGGGTTCTGGGTTTTGTCAGGCAGCCTCAAGCAGGTGCCTCATCCTTGCCAGACCCCTCTCCCTCCTTCCTCAGGGCCTCACACACCTGGTGTCAGCTCTTGGACATGGAGCTGCTCATGTATTTTGGGGACACCTGCACCCCACAGTGCACAGGGTGGCCCCACCCAGAGAACAAGTGGGCCCCAGATACTGTCGTGTGCAGCTGGTCCTGCTGCCAGACCTTTGGCCGCGTCCCCTGCCCTGCCTGCCCACTGTGATAGGACATAGGAGGGTGCGAGGCTTACTCTGTGGCTGTGAGGGAGGTCCCCGTGACCCGGTGCCGCTCGCTAAGGTCCAGGGACTGGCTCAGCACAGCGCTGGGGCCAGTAGCCAAGTTCTTGCCTCGCCACAGCTCCACGGCACTGGCCAGCCGCTCGGAGACTGGTTCACGGTACCGCTGAATCTGGGTGGAGCTTCCGGGGCTCAAAGGCCTGTCCTGAGCCCTTGGGCCACCACTCGGCTTGCTCTTGTCCTGGGGCTTCTCGGGGGTGGTGACGGGAGACGGTGCGCTGACCCCGCTGTCCAGAGCCAGGCTGGTGGGCCGTTCCATGCAGTCCTGAGGTGCCTGCGGGGTTTCCCCGGGCACATGGCAGGCTGGCAAGGCTGGAGGAGGCGCCCCGGGCTGATTTTCAGGAGCAGGGCTCTCGGCCTCCGCCCCTGTGTCTGCGAGGGCTTCATCCTCCCTGCTCTCCTTTCTGTCTTGGGGGAGGCGCTCCTCCTGCTCGGGGGAGGCCGTTCCGGAAGGTTCCCTAAGGGCGCTCTCGTCCTTACAAGACTGCATGTGCTTGTTCTGGAGTTCCACGTGCTCCAGTCCTCGCTGCCGCCTGGACTCGCGCTTCTCCCGGCTGCTGGGCGCTTTCTCGTGACTTTCAGGGGGGGTTTTCTGGGATAAGGGAACCTTCTCTGGGCTGGGGCTCTCCTCAGGGTGGACGCTCTCCGCAGGGGGCCCGTGCCTCAGCCACACCTCGGGCTCCAGCGGCGAATGCTCGCCGTCCTCCGGTGGTTCTTGGCTGGGCCCACCCTCGGCAGTTTCTTCCCTTGAGGCTTGCTGGGCTTCCCTCTCCTCTTCCGCCTTCTGCTTCTCTGCGACCATCTGGCGGAAGCTGATGCGAGGAGAATAAAGGGGGTGGGTTCAGGAACTACCATACTCGCAGCCCCCAGAATCCACCTGGTTTGTCCCTCCACTTTGGTGGGACCCCCGTGCTGCTTGCATGCTGGCCAGCCAGGCACAGCCTCTGGCCCTCAGAGAGGCTTCCAGAAAGGCGGAACCTCCTCAGCTAGGAAAGGGGGGTGGGGAGTGGCCCTGTCCTCATGGCCGTCCCTGCCCCAGGTTTGCCTGGCTAGCTCAGGGGTACCTTCACTGTGGGGAGGCCTGTTAAGAAACCCCAGAATTCCTTTGGAGCCCCGGCCTGTGGACACCCAAGCTGCATGTGTGCGGTGTGGTAGGAGGGGAGCCCAGGGTGGCCTGAACCCCCTGATTCCAGGTGCTCCACTGACGGGCCTGGGTGGGCAGGTGCAGATGTCCCTGGTGGTGACCAAATGCAGCGGATGGTGACTTGGGGCTTTGCCGTCAGCACCACCCACCAGCCCTAGAATGTCTCTCTGGGATTTGTGTGTCCAGATAGCTGGATCCCACCAGTCCCTCCCCACCCTCCCTGTGTTCAGAATGATATTCTGACAGCTCTACCTGTATCTCAGGCAGCTTTAGGGTGAGTGAACTTTCTGGCTTCTGGAACATTCTATGGGGGAGGGCCCTGTTCTGCTCACCTCTTGCGCTGCAGGTGCCCCCGGCAGAGGCTCTGCAGGCGGATGATGCTCTGTCTCTGGCGCCGGTAAGCTGCCCGATGCCGGTAGCCCCTCCATGTGGCCTGGAGGTATATGGCTGCCTGTGTCCGCTCCAGAGCCCGTCGAACGCGGTAGGACCGCCAGCAGGCCTGAGAGCAGGGCAGGTGTTCAGGGGCCAGGTGTGAGCCAGCCTGGCCAGCCCCACACCTGGGCCCTTTGGCCTCTGTGATACCTGGATGGTAATGGCCGCCCGCCTCATCTGTAGGAAGTGCCGGCGTTCCAGCACCATCCGGAACCAGCTCTGCAGGAGCAGGATCTTCCGTACGACCTCCCGGTGCAGCGTTTCCTGCAGGGCCTGCCGCTCTGTCTCCTTCAGGAAAACCTGGGTAGGGGATGGGGGTGGGGTGGGGATAGGAGCGGTCAGAACCCGAGTCTAGGAGGTTTGCACAGCCACCTCGAGAGTAAGTGCTGACTGACCTGACCACGGGGAGTGTTTTTTGAAATGTACGGAGATGCAATTCATGTCACATGGAATTCAGTGCATTTAGAACATTCACAGTGCTGTGCACCATCGCCTCTATCAGGTCCGGAACATGTCCTCACTCCAAAAGGAGACCCTGTCCCAGGGAGCAGTCACTCCCCATTCCTCCTCCCACAGGCCCTGGCATCTGCTAATCTGCTTTCTGTCTTTATGGATTTGCTTCTTTTAGCTATTTCGTCTAAATAGAATCACAAACTATGTGGCCTTTTGTGTCTGGCTTCTTTCACTCAGTATGAGGTTTCCAAGGAATCAGGACTGAGGAATATTCCGCTGTGTGGATGAACACTGTGTTCACACATCCACCAGTTCATGGATATTTGGATTGTTTCTACCTTTTGGCGACTGTGACTAATGCTGCTATGAAATGTACAAGTGCTGGTCTGAATGCCTGTTTCTAGTCCTTCTGGGTCACTATCTAGAATTGGAATTGGTCACATGTGTTGGGGAGCCATGAGGGATTCTGCACAACAGGGAGGTGAGCTTGGCACTTGTTGGACAAGAAGCAAATAACATACATCCAGAGGTGGAGACCGTTTCTGGAGGGAAGACGAGTGAAGGGAACCTGCCAGATGCTACAGTGGTTACTGCCTGGCCCTTGAACACCCGTGGAATGCTGTGATGGTCTGTAGCCTCCACGTGAGGAAACTGGAAACAGGCCTGATGCTTGCGCCCCAGCCCCATGGTGCTCCCTCGGCTTCCAGGATGCCCGGGCATCATGCCTCAGCAGAGGCCTCTATTTCCCAGTGTGTGACCCAGGGTCGTGGAAGGACCCTGTATGATGGAAGGTGGGGGGGACGCTGACCTTGGTCTTTCCGATCTGGTAGCTCCTCTTGTCGACGTTCATCTTCTCCAGCAGGGCAGAGATGACCTCCCTGCAGGGCTGGGCGTTCTTGGGCAGCAGCACCTGGAACTGCTCTATGAAATCCTGGGTGATTTAGGCAGAGAAAGGAGAATCCGAGTGAGTGCCACCAACAGGGATGGCAGTTCCCTCATCAAGCGGTTCCCGAAGCCGAAGCTTAGTTTGACGTAAATGGTATTGAAGCTAAAATCGTGGCGTTTCTGAAATCGTCTGAAACTTAAGAAGGTCTGTCACAGACACAGAGCACTGGTCTTTCAGTCCGCTGGTGCGTGGCCATGGAGGGCCTGCTCGGTGCTGCTACTGTTGGGGGGAGTGCCCAGGAGACGGGCCACCGCAGGGAGGACTCAGTCTGCGGCTCAGTAGAGGGCTGGACCGTAACTGGAGGTGCATGCTTTTTAGGAAAACAATTATGTTAAATTTCAAGAGCCAGTCATTAGTAAAACACACTAGCAGTTTCTCCCTTTTCTGTAATTTTGCCTTTCCCATTTATAAGGTTAGAAAAATCATACTTTCATTCTGTGGATAAGAAAAGAGAGGCACGCCATGATGCAGTCACGTCCCCACAGCCACGCGGTGAGTCTGAACAGAGACCAGGTATTGCCACTTCTGGCTCTGGGGCCACGGCTCACTCCAGCACCTCACAACTGGTGCCAGCTAACGTAACGAACCTGGGGTTTTCAACCTGGGCCATGCTGACCCGTGGGGACACTGGTGATGTCTAGAGACATCTTGAGTTGTCAAACTTGGGGGCAGGGGTGAGTGTGCTACTGGTATCGAGTGGGTGGAGGCAGGGAGGCTGCCCAGCACCCACGGTGCACAGGATGGCTCTACCATAGAGAACGACTCAGTCCCATGTGTCAGTGGAACCACGACTCAGAAGCTGCTCTACAATTTGATCTTCACCAACGTGAGGTTACTAATGACCCCTTGTGTTTTGAGAATGCCCAGAGAGCCATCTCTGAGGCTGTCCTTTCCCTGGGCCTCAGTTTCTGTATCAGGAAAGTAGGAACCAGGCCCTCTTGCTGTAGGCTGGCAGAATAAAAGAGTTGGGTATAAAAGCTGGTAGAAGGTGCTCAATAAAGGGCAGGCCACACAGGGGTCTGCTTGTGCAGATCCCTCCTCCTGGCTCGGTCTCACACCTCTGCATCCTTACGGCTTAGCTGGGGCCCAGACACCTTTTCTGAGGAAAGCTGTCCTCCTACGATGGAACGATCCGGCGGTGCCGGGAGGAGAAGCCCTGGCGTAAAGTAACCGGATGGGCTCGTGTTCCAGAGCAGCATCCGTCTGGAAGCAGAGGTGGCTGGCCCTCGGCCCTCCGCTGTATCGTGGGCAGCCACGCCGTCAGCCTACCTGGAACGTGTACTTGGCGCTGTAGCCTGACCTCCGGATCCGCACCGTCTCCAGCATGCCCGTGTAGCGCAGCTGCTGCAGCACCAGCTCCTCGTCGAAGCACAGCTCTTTCTGAAACGGGATGCAAGCAATCAGGGCCGGTGCCTGTGGCCAGATGTCCAAGCCGGCAGGCGGCGGGGGAAGAGGAACTGTGGGACAAGGTCCTGGGGGATTCCAGATATGGACATGGTCCTGGCTGGTCTGGAACTGTCCCTAGCACAGCAGGCATGGGCACCTGAGGATCTGCCTTTCCTTTTTGGAATAAAGGAGTGCTCAGGGCATTCATTTTTTTCTCGAAAACCTGGTATCTGATTTGTTCTAATCCTGGTGTTGAGGAGACATATGTCACTCCTTACTGCCTAATTCAAGGTAATGTGCTGCAAAGAGCCCTTTTCTAGGGGCCCAAACTAAACCTGGGCTGAACTTGTACTCTGTGCCAGGTGCGTGGGCAAGTACTGAGGATTCTACAGAGGAGAGCATAGCCTGGGGGTGGGCAGCCAGACGCATGTGTGAAGGGTGGATGCTGCTAAGGTCCCTGTGGGAGGTGTCATAGGAGAGGGGACCCTGCGCTGAGTGCTGAGGGCTGAGGAGGAGGGCGGGGAAAGCTGGGTGAAGGCCCAGAGAAGAAGGTGGAGGCTAAGGGGCTGACAAGAGATGTAGGGAGATGCCTGCGGCTACAGGGGCAAGGGGAAGGAGGGAACGATGCTGGCTCAGGGGCATGGCCTTCACGCCAATGGGTATTATTTTAAGTGGATGGAAGGGAGGGAACGGCACTGGGGATGGGGTTGTCATGACTGGGTGGGGGATGCTTCTGGCATCTGGTGGGCTCTTGGAGGCCAGGGATGCTGCTTAATACCTTACAACGCACAGGTCAGGCCCCCACCCGCCTCCCCAAGAACCATCTGCTGGCACAACCCTTGCCCAGAGCAGGTGTTGGTGGAGCATTTCCCGGGTTCCCCGAAGCTGAAGTGAGAATCCCTGATGGAAGAAGGAGGGTCATACTCTGTTGCCAGAAGAATGGGGGAGGGGGAGAGGGGAGGAGAAGACCTTCTCTGAGACACTACTGGGAGAACTGAAAGGCAGGGAGAGGAGGAGAGGAAGCCATGGCACCCGCAGGGAGAAGCCGGGCTCTGGATGTCAGTGGAGCATCCCAGGAGCAGGGGAGAGCCAGGGTAACAGGAAGAGGAAGGGTAAAGGGTATGGGAGTAGAGAGCCACCAGGGTCCCCTGCCCAGGGGTCACCTGTACCAGAGAGGGAGCCTAGATCCCAGTGGCCCCCGGCAAGGTCCCAGTGGGCCCCTGGGGCACAGGAAGCTGGCATCGAGGGCCGAGCCTGCCGTCAGAGCCCCACCAAGGCTCTGTCTTTACAGAAACTTCTGGATGAGCGGCAGGCTCTGTGCTCCTGCTGCACCACCTCAGCCCCTCCCTTCAGGCACACTGTGCACTGGCCGCTTTTTGGGATGTATCTGAAGAGCACCGAGACCTGACCCTCCTCGAGCAAGCCTCCATGGCCCCTTCCTGTTCCAGATGACTCCTGCTTGTGGTTGCCCTTGTTGACTGCCCCCTCTCCCCCCGCCCCCACCCAAACCGCCGGTCATGACACTGTTTACAGTTCCTAGAACTCAGGTGAACATTTGGTTCCTTGAGGCTTTTCCTTCCCCACCCCCCTTGGCCACCAGACCTCGGCCTTCATCTCCCACAGACCCAGGAGCCCCTCACCTTCTCAGCGTTGGAGCGGATGCAGCGGATAAAGAAGGGCTCCGCCTTGCCCAGCGCCTCCAGGAGCTTGTTAAGGGATGTCTGGGGAAAGAGAAACAAGGGATTTAGCTGAGGTCCCCGGAGGCAGCCTCCCAGTGAGAGGGGATCCAGGTCACCTGCCTGCATCACCACGGGAGTCCGTGCTGATGTGAGACATGGGAGGTCACAGCTGGACATTCTGACCAGAGGCTGCGCCACTCTGGGGAGCCCCTGAGGGAGTTGTGGGGTCCCTGTGGCCGCCACCTTCCTAGGGTCATCCAGCTCTTTGCTTCAGGTAGAAGTGGAGAGGGGACTAGATAAACTCCTTCTGGGGATTTAAAACATGTGTCAGCCTCAGAAGGGACCACGTATGCAGTGATTTTGGTCTTTGGTCTGCCGTTTCCAAAAAGGATTTGTGGGAGCTCTTGCATGAGGTAACTGTAAAAAAGCTGAGGTGGGAACAGAAGACTCAGATTGAGAAAAGAGAGAAGGAATAAAAAAACCTAATGGTGAGGGTCAGCAGCCATTGGACTCCCCACAAGAGGTGTCCCGACATCTCCTGACAGCCAGTGAATAAAAGGAAAACATGAGCTAAGGGCACAGCTCAGTGGTTATATTAACTCACATACTGACTCATGATATTTTTTAACTTTTTCTGTCTTCCCTGGGGTATTTGGTAATATCTGGAGACTTTTTGGTTGTGTGACGACGGGAGGATGCTACTGGCATCTGGTGGGTGGAGGCCAGTGATGCTGTTCAACATTCCATAATGCACAGGATGGCCCTGCCCCTCTGGGAGAATGATCCAGCCCCAGATGTCCAGCACCGCCAGGGGCGGGAACCCTGGGATAATGAGTCTGTTTTGGCTGAGCCAGGTGAGCCTCGGGCCACCCACCTGGAACTGGGCGCTGATGCTCGGGGGCTTCTTCTTCTTGTGCAGGTGCAGCAGCGACTTGGTGGTGCGGTCGTGCAGGGTCATACTGATGATGAGCTTCAGGGACTTGGAGTCCAGCAGGTTCTAGGACGGACACACAGGGTCTGGCCTGCCCTCCTGAGGCCCCAACGGGCACCAGGAGGCACTGATTCTGGAGCCAGGACAATGCTCCTGGGGGTGACAGCTCTTAGTATTGGTTTCATGACTGTGCTACCGGAAAGTGGGGGCAGGCGGTCCTGGCGGGACTAAATCTGGGCTGTGCCTGTGAATGGCACTGGCGCCAGGAGGGCTGATTACAGCCTGGAAGGCAAGGGCCATCACAGCCTCCGCTATGCAGCTCAAGGACGGCAGACTCTCACTGTTGCCCGACGAGCACCGGCACTGTCTCCTCTGCTGACCAGACTAGAGGCTGCTCTTACTCGTCTACCAACTTCATGATCGTCCACATGCTGCAGGCGGAGACAGAACACCTGGGTGCATGTCACCCACAGCCAGCTGCTGAGGTCTCGGCTGCCTGGACACGTGCAGCAGGTGCTGCGTCTCCTGGAGATGGCTGGTGGCTAAAGACCCCTGCTGTGGGGTAGGACGAGGGTCTGTTGCCTCTGAGTAGCATAAACTCTGTGGCGGTTCATACTCTGGGCCCCCCTGGACCAGGGTGAACCCGCCTCCTGCTCAGTCCTTCCCCGGCCCCTCAGGCTTCTCCTGGGATTTCCCGTCTTTGTACCACTTGTGCAAACTCTACTTCTAAGAAACCCAACAGGAGGCATTTTTGGGGGTGGGGGTGAGGGGGGAGAAGGAGATGAGGGAAAGAAGAAGGAAGTCAGAGAGGTTAAAAGCCAGCCCTCCCCCACCCCCATTTTCTGGAAAACGACATGAGCCAGGTGCTCTAGACAGAAAAAGCAAGGCAGCGTTAGACGGCGCCGCAGGTGTTTACCTTTGGAATGATCTGCTTTTGTTTGGTACCTTTACTTTTCCTGTCAAAAATATTAAAAATGGTTTTGTGAACAGAAGGAACATGGGGTCTGGATCTGGGTTAGTTCAGCAAGCCACGCCTGGCGGGTTAGACGGAGCGAGAGCAGAGAGAACAGTCGAGAAGCACAAGTGCAACGAGGCCACTACCGCTGCCTCTCCAAGGACCAGGCGGTGCTTCTGCTGCGCTCTGCACACTGGCTTCCCGGGAGGAGCCGGAGAGGCGGGCTGGTAATCCACAGGCAGAGCATGCATCTGCACAGGGCCGGCTACGGGGCAGCTGATGGGTCTCACAGTGATGGGGATCCTCCGAGAGGAGCTTTGAGGGGCCCTGCAAGGCTCGGACGCCTACCAGGTGCCCCAGCTCTATTTGCTACATGTTGGCAAACTTGAAGCAGGCCCGCAGAACCCCTTCTGGACCTCCCGCCCTGCAGAACACTGAAACGGGGCCTGGGAGGAGCGCCATTTGAACTTGTGCTGGCGCCAAGTTAAGAATGAAACCTGATCTTTTGGTGGAGGAAGGAGGGATGGCCCCCACACTGTCAGACACTACGGAAACAAAAGAAACATTTTTTAAAAAAAATTGCAGCTTAGCTGGTTTTTTACGACCAGCTGAGGAGTGGGGCCCGATCTGCACAATGTATGGCTGTGAGGGTCTATGTGTGTCAGGTTTCATCTTAATCTCCATGGGGTGGAATGAGGCCTAATAAAAATGTATTTGGCCCTGACCGGTTTGGCTCAGTGGATAGAGCGTCGGCCTACGGACTGAAGGGTCCCAGGTTCGATTCCAGTCAAGGGCATGTACCTTGGTTGCGGGCACATCCCCAGTAGGGGGTGTGCAGGAGGCAGCTGATGGATGTTTCTCTCTCATCCATGTTTCTAACTCTCTATCCCTCTCCCTTCCTCTCTGTAAAAAATCAATAAAATATATTTAAAAAATGTATTTGGAAATTGGCTGCCTTGTGGGCACTAGCTGTGCTCTCAGCCAGCCCCAACTGTCTCCCTGGTGCTGTGGCATGAAAATCATCACCCCCGCGTTGCAGACAAAGGCTGACTGCCTGGAGCACTCAGGCCAGGTGTGAGCAGGAGGGGGACCAGGCCTAATTTATGTGGCTTCTGGGTCCTTCCTACCACATCATACTCCTGTCCACAAAATCACATGCCCGACTTCTGACAGCTTTTTTGTGAGCTCAGTGGCAAGGGGCTAAGGAAGCAGGCGGTGCCCTGCGTGTCTGAGGGGAGAGACGTAGACTGTGGGAGGCGCGTTCCTGTGAAGCTGTGCAGGACACGAGGGAGCTGGTGGGGATTTGGCCACAGCAGACACTAGGGTGAGCGTATTACGAGGGCCACTGAGCTGAGCAACTGCTGGTGTGAGAATGGAACCGCAAGACAGTGCAGCGTTTGTAGCAGCTGATTCAGCGTTATGGGTCTGGGGAGCAGGGGAGGCAGTCGTTGCACTTGTGGGGGTGGCACCCGCAACCTTGGGGGGGACTCACAGGATGAAGGTGCGGGGTTTCTGGAGCCGACTGAGGGACTGGAGAAGCCTACGGGGGTCCTCACCCTGCCAGGGCAATCCTTTGATGGTCTTGATGATTTGGTCATGCAAATCGCTGAGAGCGAAGGGGTAGAGGGGCAGTGACAGAAAGGAAACCAAGTTAGAGCAGTGGGTCCCCCACCTTGGGGTCCCTGGCATGGTCGGGACTGTCCCCAGGCCACTGGAGCCAAAACATGCAGCTGGGGGAGCCTGCTCATGCTGCCTCTCCCTCTACCACCAAGAGGTGGCAGGGGTTCAGCCAGGAGTGGCCCCCACCCCAGAGGCTCCCCTTCCTCTGAGGGAGTTGAGGCCACTTCCAGCTCAATGGTTTCTCCTATAATTGAAAAAGGCCTCATACTGAAGAGCCTTCTGGAATCTGCAAAAGGCATCAAGGGACTAGAAGGGGGCTTCTCGGAGGAAAGCGGATTAGTTTCTCTCGATGTTTCTGTGGCCACTCGTCAGCTTCCTTGTTGCCTTCAAAAGAGGCGTTAGGAAGAATAAACTGAAATTCACACAGGGGTTCTCAACCAGAGTGGTACTGTCCCCTGTCCTCCCCTCGAGGGGACATTTGGTGGCCACAAGGCAGGGGTAAGTAGGGGGAGGCCAGGGATGCTGCTCTACGTGCACATGCCGGCCACCGCCACAGTGAGCAGCACGGAGCAGAGGGCGGGAAACCCTGGCTGCAGGAGATCTTTACCCAAAGAGTTCAATCTTATCAGCTTCGTTTTGTTCAATGACTGTGGGTTCAGGTTCAGTTCTAGGCCCAAACTCTGGCACCGACGTGTGACAATGAGAACAACTTAGAGGGGAAACCTAGCGCTCTGAAACGAGGTATTTGTGAAGGACGTCTAGGTGACAAACGTCTTTGATAGAACTTCGGAAGTGAGGAAGCACTGACTACAGAATGAAGACGGGAGGTCTGGTTTTTGATTGTTTTGTTTTTGTTTTAAATTCCTTATTCCAGTTATTTCAAATGCATGTTTAAGCTCTGGGCAGTTGGCCTGGGAAGACCCCGACCGGCAGCCCCTCGTGTGTTCCATGCACCACGCCCAGCTGGACAGCCTCACTTACCTCTGTTCCCTCACCCTCCAGGGAGGCACGGAGGGCAAAGACAACAGAGCAGTCACATTCACTTCCACACCCCGAGCAGTCAGTGCAGCGGCCAGGGCTCTGGACAAGGCCTGTGACTTCCGTCTGTACCCCCCTAACTTGATTAAATATGGTCAGAGTGCCCTGTGGCTCACCAATCCCCTCTCCCCTGGCCCTGGACGCTGCACTGAGAGCCTAGGGACCAGCTCCTCTGTTGTGCCTCCCTGGTCTTGGGTTCGAAGGCCCTCGCTCTACTTACTTCTTGCTTTCATAGAAAGCAAAGATGTCCTCAAAAGCGTTAATATCGAACTCCTCAGAGCCGTCAATTGAGAAATCTAGCATTGAGCAGCTGAAAGGGAGAGTCTGTATGAACTGAAGCACTCCAGGGGCGGGACCCACAGCCCGGGGGCCAGGCCCTGGGGAGACTGACACTGCAGAGACTGCCAGTCAGGGGCCACCGGTCAGTCTTTGCAGGAAAACAAACAGACAAACCAACCAACCAACCAAAAAATACCTTATCAGCAAAGGGGGAAGGGTAACATGATTTTTATCTTATCCTCTTTTGGATGAAAAAGCCGATTTAAAAATGCACCTTTATAAAGCAGGGAAACGACACACTATGCTTCCAGACAAATGACATCAGTCACCCAGTTGCTAGTTCTACCTTCACACACATACTTTTATGTATCTCTTAAAGTTATTACAAAGGGCACAAAAATAACATTCTGATGTTTGAAAATGTAGTGACTTGTGCTTTGGGGATTGATGTTCAGGGACTTGGTTGCCCCAGAGCCGGGGTACGTGCCCACTGCTGGCATACCCTGCCTCCTTGTCCGGCTACACAGCTCCCCCCTCTGGCTTTGTCATTGCCTCAGTCATATGTCCGGTGTGGCCTTTTTACCCTACCTTCCTGGGAGCACATGCCTGATCACTCTTCCGCTTGGTACAAACTGGGGTATGTGAAGGGCCCTGGGTCATTCCTAAGTGGCCACACAATAGCCCACCTCATCTCACGTGCAGAAAAGAGGTATCGGCGTTTCTGACCGTGAATGAAGTATTGTAGCATCTGCTTTCAGGACAGCCTGGCCGGGCTGGGGGAGGAAGTGCTTTTAAATCAAGCCTGTGGATCTGAGGGAGCAGTGGCTCCTTGACCCCACCCACCACCTGCCACAACCCAACCACGGGAAGGATTCTTTGTAAACTGAGCCATCTCACATCTAAAGCAGATGGCCTGGGTGCAGAAAAGTGGCGGCCAGGTGCTGTTTGCTTCTGGGTCTCTTTGGTTCAAGAAGTTGCCGGGTAAGGGCAACCCCAACCTGGGTTCAGGGTGTGGGGTTTCTGGAACTGTCTTAAAAACGCTGCTGTCTACCAGCTTCGGTTGGGACAGATCAGGGTCATGCTCACCGGTACAGCTTTTCCGAGGGGGTGATGGCTCCTCTCTGTAGCTCCCCCAGGTGACTTCGGGCGCCAGGGCTGCACAGATTTGCTGGGGACACAGATAAGATGGAGGCGGGGATGTGGGGTTGCCTGGAGCTCGAAGGCCTTTGTCTTTGCTAGGAGGCTGATGTCCTGACCTGAACTCATCTTAATAAAATAGCCTGATACTCGAATGTGGGCAGAGTAGGGAACTGTGAAGTGTCTGATCTCCAAACAACAAGCATTTATTCCTATTTCTCATAAAGGCCTTAAGCTTTTGGTCCCTTTAATCAACGCCCTTCGTAAAACGGAGTCCCAAGGTTGGTGTCTAGAGCCCAGTGGCCCTAAGGGAGCCACTGAACAATTCCGGGCCCCAGGTTGTCACAGAAAAGCAGGGATGTGCCCTCCTGTCTTGTGAAGGTGATGATGTTAAATTACACACCTGGCAGAGTTTCTGTTTGGGATGACGGAAGAGCTCTGGAACCAGGCGGTGGTTGCACAACACTGTGAATGCGCTAACTGCCTCTGAAAGGTGCACCTCAAAAGGGACTCCAAGGGTCCCCCTCTGGAAGGTGACACGGGGCCCTCCTCTTACCGGCAGCCTTCTCGGCCCGCTCGGCCCGCAGGCGTCCGGCCTCCCGGAGCACGGCCATGGCGCGGATGGCGGCCCGGAGCATGGCCCAGCGGAACACTGCCACCGGGTCCATGCCGATGAGCTCCCGCACGTAGGAGCTGTCACTGCCCCGCAGAAGTGCCACAATGTCTGGCCGCATGTAGTCCATGTTCTTCTCCCGGAAGTCCTGGTGGGGAAGAGGCAGGCAGTCGCTCACTGGTGCTAGAACAGGGAGGGCTGGTGAGGGTGGGGGACTCATTGTAAGAGAGAGTGGTTTCTGCCTGTGGAGCGGAGATTCCGGGGCCGGGTCTGAGCACCCTGGTACCTGGCCCAGAGTGACTGAGCAGAAGGGAACGGGCCAAGCAAGCACCAGAGAGAAGGGGCCTCCAGGTCACCCACGTGTTCCCTTTCCCACCTCCGGGCCCGACTCGTACCTTAATCTGATATTTCACCTTCCCTGCGAAGTGCTGAATGATGAACGCTGGCTCCATGATGGGGGTGCCGAGGAAGTACCTGTTGTCTTCGTGCTGCTGTTTGAACTTGGCCAGCAGAGTCTGGCTCGTGGCGTGGGGGAAGCTGGGAAGATGGGAAATTGTGAGCTGTAAGAACGGTGGCTGATCACCTGCTCTGCATGGCAGGTTGCAGGTCCTTTGACATGGAGGTGGGTGGGCAGACAGGTGCTTGGGTTGCCCTGCGTGTTGAGGTTTAGGGCCAGGAACCGGCTGCTGCTATGAAGGGGCCGAGGGCAGAAAGGACGCACTCAGGGCTGTGGCGTGAGCTCAGAGCAGGGCAGAGCTGTGAGACTGGGACTTGGACCTACCACGGGCAGCTCCTAGGAGTGATCCCAGGACAGAGTGACTCTGGCCCCGGGTCCTCTGTGCCTGGATGCTGTGTCTTGGAGGGGGTCTTGCCTGGGCTCCCGTTAGAGGGAGGAGAGTGGGAGCAGAATAAGGAACCCACTGTACCTGGCTGTATGTGCCCCCCAGGAAGGATATGCCACAGCCAGCTTTGGCATGCTCTGCCTGTGCGCCCCCAGCCTTGCTGCAAACACAGCAGTAAAACATATCTTTGAATCCCCAATGCCCACTGCTTAAGAGGAAGAGCCTATAGCTATGAAGCACATCATTTCTAGGTATGGACAGTGAGGGACCCGTTCGTGTAGTCGTCTGGATAAATAATACTTTTGTTGTTGTTAATCATTACCCAAGGATATTCCCCCCCCCCCCCGATTGATTTTTAGAGAGAGTGGAAGGGATGGGGAGAGACACAGAGAGAGAAACATTGATGTGAGAGAGGCACATTGATTGGTTGCCTCCTGCACGTGCCCTGACTAGGGCCAGGGATCCAGCTTGCAACCAAGGTACATGCCCTTGACTGGAATCAAACCAGGGACCTTTTAGTCCACAGGTTGATGTTCTAACCACTGAGCAAACCAGCTAGGGCTGGATAAATACTTTAATGCACTGTTTTAGAAAATCCAAATCAATATAAAAATGAAATCCTTGATAAACCAAAATGGGCAGATTTTAAACAAAGACAGATCTGACCCTGGTGGGCCTGGTCTTGCCTCCCACGCTTCGCCCACACGCAGGTCTGGGACCATGTAGCACCCTGCCCTTTCTCTTATCTGAAGGTTCTCTCTTTGAGTTCCAGTGTGAATGAACCTGTCTGTCCCCATCCTGGATGGAGACTTGGTGTGAGGCAGGAGGTGAGCCTAATTTTTCCAGCCCCACAGAGGCCTCAGCAACACACAAGGGCCCAATAAAGAGGTGGGTTAAAAAGACGTGTCCTGATACCTGGGAGCTATGAATGTGACCTTATTTGGAATTAGGGTCTTTGTAGATGCAGTCAAGTTAAAATGAGGCCACGAGGGTGGGCTGGGCACTAATTCAAATGACCGTGGTTTTTGTAAGAAGAGGAGACGAGACCCTGACAGGCAGGGGATGGTGATGTGACCACAGTGGTGGAGATGGGGGTGATGCAGCCAAACACCAAGGGTATCTGGGGCTGCTAGACGCTGGAAAGAGGCAGGAAGGGTTTGCCCCTAGAGCAGTGGTTCTCAACCTTCCTAATGCCGGGACCCTTTAATACAGTTCCTCATGTTGTGGTGACCCCCAACCATAAAATTATTTCGTTGCTACTTCATAACTGTAATGTTGCTACTGTTATGAATCGTAAAGTAAATATCTGACATGCAGGATGTATTTAGGCGACCCCTGTGAAAGGGTTGTTCGACCGCCAAAGGAGTCGCGACCCACAGCTTGAGAACCGCTGCCCTAGAGCCTTTGGAGGGAGAGCGGCCCTGTCAACATCTTGATTTCAGCCCTTTGACACTGATTTTGGACATCTGGCCTCTAGAACCATGAGGAATACATTGCTGTTGTTTTAAGCCACCCCTTCTGTGGTCATTCATTACAGCAGCTGCAGGAAACGAATTCAGTCGGTGAATTTTAGTGACTGTGACTTCAGTGACTGCAGCGGGGTGACCAAACATGAGGCACCTCATAAATATCCCTTCCAGCCGTCAGTGCATCCGGGACAAGGGGCCAGGCTCTGCGGAGAGTAGGCGTCTGGGCCCCGATTCCACATGCTGCCCTTTGCAAGGATGCACCAAGCCCGTTCCCATTTTCCACCATCCTTTCCCAAGGACTCGTGGGCGGGCGGGTTTCAGTGACTGCATGTGTTAATTTCCATGGTGAACGGGGCATGCATTTCGCAAATGTGAGGTCAAGATTTATGGCCAAATGAGTTTGAGAAACTCAGAAGCTCTTGGGCTGTTCGGCTTTGGGCTAAGACTGTGGGGGCTGTGGAACTGGACTGAGTGGCTGGGTTTGTGGACACACCGGGACGTGGACACTCACTTGCTCTCTTCATCCAGCAGATAGAAGAGGCCGGTGGGCTTCTTGCTGATCAGGTGGATGCAGCCGACGTTGTCCGTGTAGTCAATGTTGTGCCATGAGATCCCTTCGCTCTGGTACTCCTCCTGCAGGGTTTGGGAGGGGTATCCGGTAAGTTCATTATTTCATGGCCAATTTTTACGTATAAACATGTTATACAAGGGTGGGCACGTGTACATGTAAACATGTTATACAAGGGTGGGCAACAGTAGGTTTACAGCTGTGAGTGCACTGTCCCATTGAGTTAATAAAGCTATTATAATAATCATAACCTGCATGTGTTTTTCCACGAGCAACTGTAAACCGACTTTTGCCCACTCCTGAATTTATATATGCATGCACATATCTACCAGGTGTACCGGTTAATAATGGCGGATTTTGTAATCAAAGAAAACACGATAATTTCAAGAGAAACATCAAAAATGCTTTCTTCCAAGTAATGTCCATCACTAGCTACACATTTTCCTCATCTTTCAGGTAATTTGTGGATACTGTCCCAATACTTTCTTGTTTTGAGGCAAACCACTTAGAGACCCAATTTTCTACTTCTTCATATGTTTTGAAGTGCTGCTCAGAAAGTGCGTGTGCCATTGATTGGAACAAGTGGTAATCTGAAGGAGCAAGGTCTGGTGAATATAGCGGGTGGGTTAATACTTCCCAGGCAAGATCTTTTAACATGTCTTTAACTGGTTTTGAAGTGTGTGATGGTGCATCATCATGAAGCAAAAATTACTTTGCCGTGTCTTCTGGAACATTCTGGTTGTTTCATGATCAAAGCGTGGTTCAAATAGATTATTTGTTGTCCGTAGAGATCAGTATTAACGGTTTCACCTGGTTTTAGAAGCTCATAATACACCACACCTTCCTGATTCCACCAAACACAGAGCATTAACTTCTTTCTGAAGCGATTTGATCTTGCATACAGGTGTTGATGGTTGACCTGGATGTTCTTTGTCTTTCACATTGAAATCATCACTTTTAAAGCGTTTAAACCAGCGTTCACAAGTATCTTGAGATGGAGCATGTTCACCATAAGCTTCCCAAAGTATATGATAACTTTCAGCAGCACTTTTCTTCAAAATAAAGTAATGAATTAAAATTTCCTGCAAATGCTCTTTTTTTTGGGCACGAAATTCAACATTTTTAAGCGCAAAAATATCTATGATGTTAACACCTTCAGAAAATTTGACATACGAAGTTTTAAAGCTTGTGGTCAATACAACAAAATAGCATACATAATCAAATCGCATATATATCAACATATGTGTAACTCCATCTATTGAAAAAAATCCGCATTATTAACCGGTACACCTGGTATATATATGGATGTGTAAGTAACAAAAAACCTATTATTATATCAATAGAAGTATATTAATAACTATATAAGATTATTACGTAAGTTAATAATTAGCAACATGAACAGAACACACACTTTCAAACATTTAACACAGCAAAGTACTTAACATCACACTTAAAGTCACCGAGGAAGCCAGCGAACGTTCTTTATCAAGAGCCAGACTGTAAATATGTTAGGCTGTATGAGTTAGATGGTCTCTGTCACAATCACTCAGTTTTGTTGCTGTAGCTTGAAAGCAGCCAGGGATGATATGTAAATAAATGGGTGTGTCCATGTGCGAATAAAGTTTTATTTATGAAAACAGGCAGTGGGGCTGGATTTGACCCCTGGGCCCCTGCTCTGAAACTGTAATGTCTATAATAGCCATATAATGTAAGTGACCTATGTAACTTCAAATTTGCTCATAGTCACATTTTAAAATGTAAAAAGAGTTCTGGCCAGTGTTTCTCCGTGGTCAGAGCATCAACCGGAGGACCAAGGGGTCTCGGTTTTGATTCCCCATCAAGGGCACGTACCTGGGTTGCAGGTTCGATCCTCGGCCCTGGTCGGGGCGTGTGCGGGAGGCAATCAATTGACATGTCTCTCTCTCATTGATGTGTGTGTGTCTCTCCCTCCCTCCCTCCCACTCTCTCTAAAAAGCAATGGGAAAAATATCCTCGGGTGAGGATTAATAACAACAAAAGCAAAAAGAAATGGGTGAAGATAGCTTTAATAACATACTTAATTTAACCCCATATATCCAAATCTTTGCAATTCACTGTGTATTTTGCTCTTCCCGCTCAACTCAATTTGGACCAACAAACATAATAGTAAAATCAGCTAAATAACTACATAACCCATCAGTTCTTCCCCCTGTCAGAATCATCAATGTGAAGGGTAGTATGTGGGTAAAGATGTCTGAGTATTTAGAACTGAAAAGACACATAGATTATAAATATTGTTGACTTTAAAGGCAACTCCGTTTCTCTCCCATTAAAGGACTTTCACGATGGAGCAGAGAGAAGGTGCAAAATTGACCTGTGGCCAAAAACATCCCCGACAGTTTGCCTCATCGCAGGCTGGGCGGAATTTTCCCCGGACTTTCCTTTTTTGCAGAAAAAAATTCTGGGCAGGTTTGAGGACAATCCAGGCCCCCAGGGAGATCCCGGTTCTAGCACATCCTGTCCTCCCTTGGGCTGGACGGGTGACAATGGCACTTCCTTACCTGCTCTAGTTTGAAAATGTGCTGGTTGAAGTAGTACTGGAGCTGCTCGTTGGCATAATTGATGCAGAACTGTTCGAAACTGTTCCTCTCGAAGTCCTCAAACCCAAAGATGTCAAGGACCCCGATGGACAAGCACTGGGGGAACAGAGAAAACACTTGTTACTGGTGGGTCCTCCTTTGGGAGCACCTGTTCTGTCGTGTCCTGAGGGCGCTGTGCTTGGCGTGCTGCACGCCCTGCTATTGCTGCCTTGGAACCTGTAATATTTGAACAAGGAGCCTGTGTTTTCATTTGCGTTGGGTCCCGAGAATTGCATTCTGTCCTGTTCCCTGGGCTGGGAGGAACTGGCCGCTTGCCTGACACTGGCTACAGCCACCTTGGCTCCCGATGCCACAGGCCATCCACCTGTGTGGCAGCAAGGGCACAACCTTCCCCAGCCGAGCTTATGGGTGGCGGGTGGGGTGGGGCACTCACCGAGACAGACTCTTCCATGTCTTTCTTATTGAGGAGGGCGTGGTTAATGCGCAGCACAATCCAGTCGAACAGGGCACTGTACAGAGACTTGGCCATGGAGTCTCGGGCGGTGATGGCCTGTGGGCACAGAGGAGCCCTTAGCAAGGTGGGCCCGAACGCACCACCCCAAGGTCTGCACACAGGGGAAGTTGAGGCAGTGATTTTATTTATTTATTTATTTTGTTAATTCTCACCTGAAGATATTTTTTCCATTGCTTTTTTAGAGTGGAAAGGAGGGAGGGAAGTGGGGGGGTGGGGAGAGAGAAACATCAATGAAAGAGAGACACATAGATTGGTTGCCTCCCGTACATGCCCCGATCAGGGCTGGGGATCGATCAATCAATTGATCCTGCAACCCAGGTACATGCCCTTGACTGGGAATCAAACCTGAGACCCTTTGGTGCGAGGGCTGACACTATAACCACTGAACAACACTGGCCAGGACAAGGCAGTGATTTGATTTTATTTTTTTAAGAGAAAGAGAAAGAGAGAGAAATGTATAAGTGACCCTCCAGTGCACAGGAGGGCACTCAAGCAACTGAGCCACACTGGCCAGGGCTAAGGCAGTGATTTTAAATAGCCAGCTCATCTGACACTTCCCTTATCAGTTTGCACACCACCCTGTCAGCTCAGACAGCCTTGCCCACCGAAGCATGAGCCGAAAAGCCTTGACCCAGCAGCCTGTGGTTCAGCCAACTCATTCCTCAGAGCTACCAGGGACTGGTGACACTGGAACGCAGACTCAGGGAGGCCACCGGGCCTGCCAGCCTGGGAACTAGCCAGGAGGCCCAGTGGGTTCAAAACCTGGCCCCTTGCTGTTCTTGGAGCACCAGGGGCCAACATTGTAAAAGTGGTAAAGGCTTTAACAATTTTTCTTACGCCTTATGGAGGTCTAATTTACATGCAAGAAATTCCTTCTTTTTATGTGCTCAGATCTAAATTGTGACAGACAGCCCTAGCTGGTTTGGCTCAATGATAGAGCTTCGACCTCCGGACTGAAGGGTCCCAGGTTTAATTCTGGTCAAGGGCACATGCCCTGGTTGCAGGCTCGATCACCAGTGTGGGGCGTGCAGGAGGCAGCCGATTAATGATTCTCTCATCATGAATGTTTCTATCTCTCTCCCCCTCTCCCTTCCTCTCTGAAATCAATAAAAATATATTAAAAGAAAAGAAAAAGCAAAAAAGAAATGGAGCCTCGAGAGTCGTAGCCTGGCATCTTCACATGGTGCCTCGGGAGCAGCCGTGCTGCTGGGGCGGCAGGGGTCCTGCACACTCCAGGGGACTTTTGCCCCTGGGGGCTCAGACTGTCCATGGTGCCCTTCTGAGATGCCAAGCAGCCATCACCAGCAAAAAATCCCCCCTGTGGCTAGGTGCTTTCCTGCTGCTGTCCAAGCTGCAAGCTGCAGTCACATTGCTCTTGAGATAAAAACGCAGGAAAAACACACCACACACAGGCTGGGGCAAAGGCCAGACAGAGGCACCTTATCAATATTTAGGGACCACATAATGGTTGTAAAGGTCATGCTCTAGCTCTGTGATCGACCGAGTTTTTCTGCAAAAGGCCCGACAACCCACATTTCAGCCTTTCGGGCCAGATAGGGTCTCTGTTGCAACTCCTTAGTGCTGTGCTGTAGCAGGAAAGCAGCATGTAAACGAATGAGCATGGCTGCATGCCAATAAAGCTTTATTTACAAAAGCAGGTAGGGGCTGGATTTGGCTGCAGGTCTCACTGCCTCTGCTGGTGAGAACCAGTATACCCATGAAGCAGCCGGGAACACAGAGATGAACACACAGGGCCTGAGTTCTGACTCTTAGGCTGCGGTCTGCTGTCTAAGCTGGTCTGTGCTGAGCCTGAGCTCACTGAGAACCGGAGGCACCACGGGGTTCCCTCGTCACTATGCAGGAAAGAGATCACCATGCTGGCTGTTTCCAAAGGACCTCCCCTCACTTGTGTTTGGGGACCCGATGCCCTTGAAAGCCCAGGGCAGTGCTCACCTCGCTGAGACTGTAGGGAAGGATGAGCTTGTCGTTGGCGGTCACTGTTTTTCTTTTGGTCAGAACTTCCACCAAGATTTCTCGCTTCACCTGTTTCAAGGTCAAGGAGGAAGATAAAAGGAGGGTGGGGGTGGAGAACTTGTCTAGTGGGTTCTTGTGTCATTGAGACAAGGCCTGAAGCATGAGGAAGATCAGAGAAGGACCCCCAGGGGCTGTGCCAGGAAGTGGGCCCAAAGCCCACCCTCAGGGCTGCCAACCCATTATGCTCAGTGCATTTCAGAATGATCGCACTCACAGGCTTGCTCAGCACCCATGATGACAGCCTGGGTGCAAGGCTGCACAGCCTGGGTGTCACTGTGGGCCTCAGGTTCACTGCTGTCTGGTGACCTGCATTTATAGCTGTTCCAGCCTGTGTGCCGGTTGTCAAGGGCCTTGACCCTGCCTGACTGCCAAGCCCCCTCAAGCCAGCAGCAGTCAAGAGTAGGAACTGGGGAAGCTGCCCTGATCCCCTCAGACGTGTTCTTACTCATCCCCATGAACACAACAGAAGCCAGGGCTCCTCCTTTAAGAAAAGCCAGGGATGGAACACACGATTAGAAAACAGAAAGACTGAGGGCAGGGCTTCTCAGCCTTGGGGCCACTGACATGTGAGGCTGTATCGTGCTCTGCTGTGGGGTGGCCATCCTATGCATTATATGATGTCAAGCAGCACCCATGGCCTTCACCCACTAGATGACAGTAGCCCCCAAGTTGTGACAACCAAAAATGCCTCCCAGACACTGCCCCTGGGGTTGAGAACCAGAGAACAAGGGGATGGCGGGTCCGATGAGAAAATGACCTCACTGATCAAACTATGGTTTTTAAAGAGCCTTTTGCATGAGGAGCTGAGGTGGGAGGTGTCTCTGTCCAGAGGGGAGTCCCTCAGAAATGAGGAAGGGACTTTGCAGAGACGGTGTGAGGAAGCAGGCGCAGGCCTTGGTTTACAGAAGCACAGCCAATGCAGGAAGTTCTGGGCCCTCTGAGGCCACAGGCCCTGAGCTGTCCCAGCACAACCCACAGTGGCCGAGAACAGGGAGTAGTACCTTCAGAAGCTGTGACAGCGTGTCCAGCACCTTGGGGGGCCCGACCTCCAGGCCTTCGTCTCGGCCTGTGGCTCTCTTCTTGTACGTGACGTTGCCCAGATACAGGATGGCCGAGAGCACAGAAAAAATCCTGGGAGAGAAAAGGAGGTTCGATTGGGGCAGTTTCCCCAATTGTGAGATGACGGAGGCGTCCAACCAACTGGGCTGAATTTGAAACACCATCAAACACACGAAGTTTGAAAAACATCGAATCCCTTTGTCGGGGACTCTCTCTATGCCATGTGACTTGATAGACAGATATCTCTATTTTTCTTTGTAAGGCGGGGCTAAAAAATATTTTTATGGAGGCATAAGGTGTACATGCAAAAAACTACACAATTCCCAAGTGTAGAGATGTATTACCACAAAATGTACAGATCCTCGTTAATTAGCACTCAGACCAAGGAATATGACATTCCTGGTCCTGGAACCACCCAGCCCCACAGAGCTGAATTGTTGTCCTGAAATCTAACATCATCCATGAACGTAATGTCCAGGAAATCATCGCATGTACTTGTATCTGGCCCGTCACTGAAAAACGGTGATGTGGGGCTATGATGCGGGTACTGCACATAGTCTTGGTCTGTTCACTCTCAACGCTACAGACCAGCATCTCTCAGCCTTGGCACTGCTGGCACCAGGGGCCAGATTGTTCTTTGCTGGGGATGGAGGGTGCCCTGGGCACTGTGTGATATTGAGCAGCATCGCACGCTCATGCGGTGTGACCACTAAATATGTCTCCAGACAAGGCCCCGCCCCCCTGCCCGCCCCCCCCGGGACAGAATCGGCAGCTCCAGTGAAAACCACACTGTGTGGAGTAGCCCAAGAGTTGGCAAACTTGGGCCCATTTCTGTATGGCCCCTGAGCTAAGTTTTTGGTTTGGTTTTTAAATGGTTATTAAAAAGCAAAATGAAATGCAGAGAAGAACATGTAACAGAGACTGTCTGGCTCAGGAAGCTGAAAATATTTACTCTCTGGCCCTCTCCAGAAAGTTTGCTGACCCTTGCCTGGATAGATTGACATTTATTTATTTAATCTTCTGTTGGTGGGCATTTTGGGGGGCGGTTCCCAGGCTTTGGGGCTGTTATAAAGGAGGCTGTTGTGTGCATCTGTGTGCGTGTCTTAGGGTGAGCAAATGTATGCGTTTCGTTGTGTACACACAGCTGTAGCAGAAAACAGCCAAATAGTTTTCCAAAGTGGTTGGCCCAATTTGCACTCCCCCAGCAGTGAGGGTGTTCTTGCTGGATATACTGGCAGGTGTGGAGAGTACCCGGTGTGGCTGTCCAACATTAAAACATTTTTAATGGTATAAAATACACATCATATAAAATCTACCACCACAGCCATTTTTAAGGTACTGTTTGTTGGCAAAAGCCCCTGTGGTTTCAACTGGCATCTCCAAATGACTAATGATGAGAGTCCCTTACATGTGCTATTGTCACTGGGCTAGCCTCCTTCGTGCAGCTCCCAATGGGGGTGTCAATCACATCTCAGAGTGACCAGTGAGACCTGGGAGTGCCCACTCGGAGACGGCGGGATGGCTGGCCAGCCCACTTACTGTTTCTTGGTGGCGGGAAGGAAGCCCACCATCTCCATGGCCTGCTTGAGTCTTTCAAAGTCATGTTTCAGGTCTTCTCCGTCTTCGATCTTCAAGTTATGCTAAAAAACAAAGTCATCGACACTCTGGGTATTTCTGGGTCAGAGAGGGTGGCGGCGTGTGGGAATGGTTTTGGCTGGAACTGATGGGGCAGGGCCCAGGACATGGGGAATGAATGGGCTCCTTTATGCTGCCTCCTGTGGGCCTCCTTGGAGCCGGCCTGGGGGCCGGAGAGGGCCAAGGCAGACGGCCTCTGACCTGGCGGAGCGTAAACAGCCTACGGGGAACAGAGGCGGTGTTTGTGGCGAGGGCTTGGTGTTTACCTGGTTGAGGTAGAAATAATCTTCAGGCTGTTTGAGCTGAAATTCTTGTCGCTCTTCCTCGCTGACGCCAAGTAACAAATAATAAAACACGTGGTAGTTTCTGCAGGTCAAGATTCGGGGAAAAAAGTCATTTTTGGAAGCCAAGCAACAGTAACTCCTCAAAACCGCTACTAATATTGCTTTGGAGAACACACCAGGGGGAAAAAGCACTTCAAATATATTGTCTCAATTTAAGACAATAAGTCGGTTCTTAGTATGTTTTAAAAAACCCTCCCCCTTGCTCTCCCTCCCAGGAGCATCCCTGTGCCTTCCATTTCCCTCCCTCTGCTGCTTCTCCTTCTCTTCCTCCTCTCCTCCCTTCTCCTTCCCCCAGGCGCTCACTCCCAAACTCCTAGGGCCCTTCCTTTGCCACCATAACTCATTTCCTTAGTCCGTCTCTTCTACGAATTATCTTCCCCCACGCTGTGATTTTACCAAATACATGTTCTCTTACCAAAAAAACAAACAAAAAAACCTCCCCAAACATGTTCTCCAGTGAGATTTCTCCAGGGGGTGGTAGTGGTGGATGTGCGTCTCCCTCACGGGTCAATTAGAGATGCCTCTAATCTGAGCACATGGGTAAAAGCCCTAGGGAGGCACAGAACTAAGCACAAAGGGTGACTTAGGGGGTGTGAGCATGAGGCTCGGGACCACACAGCAGGCCGCGCGCACTGGGGAGCTGTGCCTGGCCTCCTGGGAGAGTCCCTGATCTCAGGATGTCTGCTTCTCTCCTCTGTGCGGGAGGCAGAGCAGATGCTCATGGAGGAGATCTCCTACCTCTCATCCTTCTCCTGAGAGACCAGACGAGACTTTTCAAGCAGGTATTTTTCAACAACAGCTCTGTCATGAAAGGAAAAAGAAAGAGTAAATCATTCCATTTTAATTATCTCTTTAAAGAACTAGAATAACTTGTTACCCATGATAAAGCCAGCTGTGCATTAACTTCCTTAAACACAAAACATATACAGGTATGTTGATATAATCACCCTAAATGTAAATATAATCACACTGAATGTTGTAAATCAATCTAATGTCGCAAAAACAAATATCCTAAATGTTGCCTTGCCCTATGACCACCATCTATAAAAACAAAGAACTTGGGCCCTAGCTGGTTTGGCTCAGTGGATAGAGCCCTGGCCTGCGGACCAAAGGGTCCTGGGTTCGATTCTGATCAGGGGCACGTACCTTGGTTGCAGGCTCCTCCCCAGCCTGGGCCCTGGTCAGGGCTTGTGCAGGAGGCAACCAAATGATGTGTTTCTGTGACATCAGTGTTTCTGTCTTTCCCTCTCTCTTCCACCACTCTCCCTAAAAATCGATGGAAAAATATCCTCGGGTGAGGATTAACAAAAAAAAATAAAAAAAAGGAACTTGGGCTGGCCACTTCTCCCCAGACCAGATCACAGAAGCCCGGAGGCATCATGGGGAACCTTCCTCCAGGGAGGCGGGGACTGGAGTGACTGCACCCATGTGAGCCTGGATGTTTCAGGAAGCTCTCCCCTGCTTCCACCATCTCCCTAGCAATTAAATGTTTCTCCAATTCATAATCTAAATATAAGATGATAACAAATTCATTTTTCTATTCTTTTTACAGCTTTATTGAATAAACGGTACACAAAGGGTACAATGTGATAAGTTTTTTTTTTAAAATATATTTTATTGATTTTTTACAGAGAGGAAGGGAGAGGGATAGAGAGTCAGAAACATCGACGAGAAAGAAACATCGATCAGCCGCCTCCTGCCCACTCCCTACTAGGGATGTGCCTGCAACCAAGGTACATGCCCCTGACCGGAATCGAACCTGGGACCCTCCAGTCCGCAGGCCGACGCTCCATCCACTGAGTCAAACCGGTTAGGGCACAATGTGATAAGTTTTGACTGGGTCCTTTCGTAATCCATATCTTTATTTATTTATTTATTTTAAATCTCTATGTTTTTATTACTTTTTTATTTTATAGAGAGAGGAGAGGGGCGGCAGGGGGGGAGTGAGTGAGAAAGAAACATCAATGTGAGAGAAACATCAATTGTATGTGCTTGCAAGCTAGGTATGTGCCCTGACCAGGAATCAAACCCACAACCAGGATGACGCTCCAACCAACCGAGCCACCGGGCCAGGGCCCATATCATGTTAAAGCAGCTTTATTAAGAGTAATCAATGCAAAATGAACTTAAAGTGTGGCCTTTGATGAGCTGTGACAAATGCAAACACCCATGAAACCCACCACCATGATCAAGATAGTGAACACATCCACCACCCAGAAAAATTTCCTTGGCCCCTGTATCATTCCTCCCCACTCCTCATCTCCAAGCAGCCACTGACCAGCCCCACTTGAGATTAGTTTGGATTTTCTAGAATTTTAAAGAAATAGAATCATTCAGTATGTATACTGTGTCTGACTTCTCTCACTCAGCCCAGTGATTCTGAGGCTGAGTCACATTGTAGCATGCAGCATTCCTCCTTATGGCTGAATAATATTTTACATATGTGGACACACCACATTTTGTTAGCCATTTGATGGACATCTGATGGACATGGGTCCATGAGGCTATGTGGGTGCCGTGGCAGGGACCGGGCACCTCTACAGCCACACTATTAGCACTAAGAGTAGTGATGGCAAACGTTCCAGGCACTGTTTCATAGGATTTAACACATTGACTCCTCCCATCCCTTCGAGGTGGGCACTGGGGCTCCTGTTAATGAATGAGGTACTAAAGTTGGAGAGGCTACACGCTGTTGGGGACCCCACAGGAGGGAGGTGGCCCAGCAGGGACCTGAGCCTGGTATGGGCCCTGCTGCCTCCACACCCACTGGGGTCGGAGGGGCCTGTCTCTCACGGGATCCACTATTACCAAGTAAGGGAGCTGGGCGGGTGTGGGCCAACTTCATCCGAGCCCATCCTAACTACAGGAGAGGCAGCCGGTGCCCCAGGGGTGGCAGGGCCGGGCCCCTGGTCCATCACTTGCTGGATCAGCTGGCCTGTCCCTCCAGGATGGCAGTCGTCTGTGTGCAGCCTTGAACAAGACACACGCCTACTCCATGCACAAGTGGGTTTCCAAGGGCGTGGCCTGTGTTCTCTCTTCTATTCCTGCTCCTGGCTGGTAACTATTTTAGTGAGCAGCAGTTTGTTTTCCTGGCACGGGAGGCTGCCCTGGTTCCAGAATCAGACGACTGTTGGAATTTCAACCTGTGGCCAATTTCCTGGACTGTGTCAGCAGATGGGGGAGAATGGCAACCCCTCCCAGCAGGGAGCTGTCATTTCACTGACAACAGCCTCTTTCGTCTGTGTGCAGCCTTGAACAAGACACACGCCTACTCCATGCACAAGTGGGTTTCCAAGGGCGTGGCCTGTGTTCTCTCTTCTATTCCTGCCCCTGGCTGGTAACTATTTTAGTGAGCAGCAGTTTGTTTTCCTGGCATGAGAGAGAAACATCGACCAGCTGCCTCCTGCACATCTCCTACTGGGGATGTGCCCGCAACCAACGTACATGCCCTTGACCGGAATCGAACCCGGGACCTTTCAGTCCGCAGGCCGATGCTCTATCCACTGAGCCAAACCGGTTTCGGCTGTTTTTTTGTTTTTTTGTTCATCCTCACTGGAGGATATTTTTCCATTGATTTTTAGAGAGAGTGGAAGAGAGAAACGTCGATGTGAGAGAAACACATTGATTGGCTGCCTCCTGCACGCACCTTGACCAGCAGGGCTGGGGAGGAGCCTGCAACCAAGATACGTGCCCTTGACTGAAATTGAACCCAGGACCCTTCTGTCCGCAGGCTGACGCTCTATCCACTAAGCCAAACCCGATAGGGCAGCCTCTTTCTTCTGATCATCTTGGAGACCCAGGTACCTACGGCGGTTAGTAGGTAGCCAGGAATCCCCCGGCACTGAGGCCCTGAACCCACAGGGAGACTAGGTCTTACAAACTGGAGAACTGGGGGAAGGCTTGGACTGCCCTTGACCCTTAGCCTCGGCAGGAAATGGCATCAAGAAGTGTCACCTGCCCAAAAGCAGAACAAGGTCTGCGACCGATCCTTGTGAGCGGCTCCCTGGACGGGAAGTACACCTCCCTCCTCAGAGCGTGGGCAGGCCATGGTCGTGGGCCAAGAGGGGACTTCCTTTCCTGAATTCAGGCCACAGATATGACTCTCAAAAGCTAGTCTATGAGACCGGCTACTCAGGGCCACTGGCCTGAGCTTGATGGGTGCCTGTAGTGGCTGGGCTCTTTGGTTATGGCCAACCCTTGCTGGGTCACATGGGAGCCCCCAGAAGATACGCGTATACGCTTGGAACCTGTGACTGGAATCTTATTTGGAAAATGTCTTTGCAGATGCAATCAAGTGAAGGATCTCAAGGTAAGATTATCCAGGATTATCTCCATGGGTACTAAACCCAATGACAAATGTCCAAAAAGACAGAAGAGGCCACAGAGACACCGAGGGGAAGGCTGTGTGAAGATGGAGGCAGAGACTGGAGTGATGCAGGCACAAGCCAAGGAAGCCTGGGGCCGCCAGAAGCTGCAAGAGGCAGAGAGGATCCTCCCCTACAGGTTCCAGAGGAGGCGGGGCCCTGCCAACACCTTGATCTCAGACTTCTGGCCTCTGGAACCACGAGAGAAGAAATTCCTGTTGGTGTGAGCCACCGGTTTGTGGTGCTTTGTTACCGCAACCACAGGTCACCAAATGGAGACCATGCGAAGGAGAGAGCTGGGGGGCAGATGGGGAAAGCAGTGCCACTGGGAGCAAAGGCTCTGGCGTCCAGCCTGAGGCCTATAGAGCCAGCCCAGGACCCAGGCAAACATGAGGCAGCCTCTCGGCATGTCTGCTTTCCCCAAGGGAGCCCCTGTAACTGTACAATTAGTATGTGTCTATGTTTTCTGCCCAATCAGATACCCCTTTAAATCAGGAGTGAGGGTCTTGGTGGAGAAAAGGTGAGGACTGTGGGGAGAAAAGGTGAGGACTGTGGGGCAAGTGGGTGGCTCCAGGTGTCTCTGATTATTTGGGGCACATACCCTGTGGGTGAGTGGTGGTGCCCATGAAGGTGCTCGGGGAGGGACCTTTGGACGGCTTGGGAGGGGAGCTGAGGAGGTGGGGAGAATCACCAGCTGCTGAGCACCCCTGAGGACTGCGGAGCAGAGCAGACCATTTATTGAGGGCCTCTCATCCACACCGCTGCCTGTCAGAGCGTGGGCAGCAGGAAAAAGGAAAGAAACCAGGGGCTGAAGGATTAGCAACAACATTAGATTTAAAAAAATATATATTTTTATTGATTTCAGAGAGGAAGTGAGAGGGAGAGAAAGATAGAAATATCAACGATGAGAGAGAATCACTGATCGGCTGCCTCCTGCACACCCCACACTGGGGATAGAGCCTGCAACCTGGACATGTGCCCTGACCCGGAACCGAACCGTGACCTCCTTGTTCATAGGTCAATGCTCAACCACTGAGCCACGCCAGCCGGGCTCCTATTACATTTTCAATATGAACCGTTGATTGGAATGATCACCAGTCAGGTAGACAAACAGGAGAACCTAGATTGAAATCCCTCCCAGTCCCCGCCACATTTGAGGACCCCTCTTCTCCTGAAGTGCTAGTGCCTTTTCTCGGCCTCCAGGAGCCTAGTGCTCAGGTCTCCCCACCTCTAACATCCAGGGCTTCTCACCCTGCTGTTTAGAGCAGCGGTCGCCAAATGGTGGTCCATGAGGTCCGAAAGGCTGGCGACTGCTGGTTTAGAGCATCACCTGAAATCTTTCCACTGTCACCACGGACCCTCACACCAGATTGTGATGTGGAGGAGGATTCCAGGCAATGGACTGTGCTGAAATGGCTCTTTTTCTTTTACTTTGAAATAGTTTTACTGGCTCATAAAACCTTTGCATATAAAAACAACCCCAGCCCTGGCCAGTGGTTCAGTGGTTAGAACATTGGCCTGCGAACCGAAGGGGTGTGGGTTCGACTCCCTGTCAAGGGCACATTCCTGGGTTGCAGGTTCCATCCCCAGCCCTAGAGGCAACTAATTGATGTTTCTCTCCCTCTTTCCCTCCCTTCCACTCTCTAAAAAGTCAATGGATAAAAATATCCTCCAGTGAGGATTAGACAAACAAACAAAAAAACCAACCCCAAAACACTACACAGTATTAAATCACAATTAAATTTTGTTTAACAATGGAAACTATACAGGATATACATTTTTAATTTTTTAAAAAATATATTCTTATTGATTTCAGAGAGGAAGGGAGAGGGAGAGATAGAAGCATCAACGATGAGAGAGAATCATGGATGGGCTGCCTCTTGCATATTCCCTACTGGGATGGAGCCCGAAACCCAGGCCTGTGCCCTAACAGGGAATTGAACCGTGACCTTATGGTTCATAGGTTAATTCTCAACCACTGAACCACACTGGCCGGGCCAGAATATACATTTTTTAAAGGAAAAATAAAATCCTACAGAACTGAATTTAGAAATGATGCTATGGCTTAAAAACTATAACAAAATATATAATTCTTTATAACAGTAATTCATTGTACAATGCTGCCAGATAGTTTCATAGGGATAACCAGTGCCCAGAGCACAAGTAAGCACAATTTCAGTGTTACATTTAGTTGAAGTAACTATGTCCCCACCTAAAGAACTCACATTTCTGGCACAAAATGTTGGTCTATTTTAACTTCCACCAGGCAAACAATTTCACAATCCAGTTACTGCCTACCCACTCATCCATCCATTCATCCATCCATCCATCCATCCATCCATCCATCCATCCTTCTCTGGACAACTGCCTCATTTTGCTATCCAAGATCACATATACTTCTGGCTAAAGAGACACATTTGGCAAGTGCCAGAACCCACAGCGACTCTGCCTATGGCATCCCAGACCGACCGAATTAGAAACCTCATTAATACCAAGAAACAGGTTGGTCTGTTCTTGCCTGTTCTTGGCAAACCCCACCACACTAGTACCTACAGTTCATTGCACTTACTCCATTGGTGCCTGAACCCACACTCAATGCCCTGGGGCCGGCAGGGTCAGTTACCAAAGTGCTACCCTCCCACACCTTCACTTCCCACCTTGACCAATGCTCAGATCTTCACATCAAGGACTTAAAATCCCACTGGCTTCCTGTAGGATTCACAAATGTAGCTCTTGGGCTGGCTCCCCACTGCTGGGTTGCCCAGGATCCCACACTAAGGCTGGAGTGCACAGTACAGGTGGCTGTCAACTCACCCTCTCACGATGCCACTCTCTAGGTAGTTGACCTGGATGAATTTTCCAAATCGACTCGAATTGTTGTTGTGGGCTGTTTTGGCGTTTCCAAAAGCCTGCGAGGAAAACAAAAATAAGTTTTCAGATGGTGAGGATGAAGTTCCTACAGGCCTCAGGCTGGAGCCGCAGAGCTCCCTCTGGGCATCGCGGACACCTGCGTGCTGGAAGTCACTCAGTGGCCCAGGTGACAGCTAGAGAACAAAGTTGTGCAGTCCAGGTGCGCTCCAATGTACTCACTCGTTATCTCTCTGTTTGGCTTGTGGGAGAGGCTAAAGTTTTAAGTGTCGGACATTAAAAATTACAATCATTGGAATTCTTTCCCAGTCATAATTATTTATACAGCATACTCCAGTCTGCTGCATGTTTTTGTATTGCCTACAAGGCAAGAGTGGTTTTCACATTTATAAATGGCTTTAAAAACAACCCAAAGAAGAGTAGTGTTTCCTGACCTGCGAAAATTCTATTCACGACTCAGTGTCCATAAATGAGGTTTTCCTGGCACACAGTCAGCCTATTCACTAACGGATTGTCCGCGGCTGCCTCTGAGCTGCGAAGGCAGGGTGGCTGAGATAGAGACCATCTGGCCTGCAAAGCCAAAAACATTTACTGTCTGGCTCCTTCCAGAAGGAATCTGCCAGGCCCTGGTAAGATATGAGCTCTGGGCTCCAGGAGGGCACCAGGGTGGATGTGAGGGAGCAGAGGTGAGGACAGGTCCCACCCTGGAGGGATCCTGCAATTCTGTGGGATGACAAGCGGTTCACAGCAAGTTTTTTAAAATTGGGGTAAAATTGATACAACATAAAACTAACCATTTTAAAGTGAAGAATTCAGTGGCATTTAGGACATGCAGAATGTTGTCACCTCTACCTAGTTCTAGAACATTTCACCACCCTAAAAGGAAATCCCATTAGGAGTCACTCCCCATAATTCCTCTCCTAATCCCTGGCAACCTCTAATCTGCTTTCTGTCTCCACTAAGTGGGGCATACCCTCTGTGGTCTTTTGTGTCTGTTTTCACTCAGCATGATGTTTTTGGGGTTCTCCCAGGTTGTGGCATAAATCGGGGCTGCATTCCAAAAATGAAGAGGAAAGTATGCATAGTGCACAGAGCCTGCAATCCAGTGGGGTCCCCCTGGAGCCTCCCATGGGACCACCACCCAGATAACAAATGGGAACACACCCTCCCCCCTGCCTAGGTTCCCAGACTGCCCCCTTCCCACACGGGACCCACTGTCCCCCGAGGGGTAAACAGACACAGAGAGGATATGATGGAGCCTTGAGGGAACACAGGGTAGGGAAGATGCTTGGGAGTGGGGTTCACTGTTTCAAGGAGAGGGAGGCTGGCAGAGGTGGGGCTGGGGAAGGGATAATGATGGGGGTAACACCCCAGAGTCAAATGGGGAAAGCGTGGTGGCAGTGAGAAGGGTGTCGAACTGACAATATTCCCATCTGAGGCGGCTGAGCTGTGTGGGGAGCTGACTGTGGGCAAGGGCGGCAGGGAGAAGGGGGCAAGGCCACTGCCAGGTCTGCTGGTGGGGCAGGTGGTCAAGGGCAGGGTGGGGAGAGGCAGCCAGACTTGCAGGCTCACAGAACAGGGAGATGTGCTGACGTGGAGAGGAGACTGGTTTTCTTGAAGGCCTCATTCTGCAAGGGATGGATGCAGGTGGATTATCAATCGGAGCTCCTAATGGGGCAGCCTGAGGCAGAAACCCCATAAAAAAGCATCTGTGGGAAGGCCTAGCACATTTCCTTGGAGAATGGCTCCATTCAGCACAGCTTGAGGCAGGACGGGAGACCAGTCTGGGCCCACGTGCCGATCATGCTCCTGGCTGATGGGGTCACGGGATGAGCGATTTCCTGCCCCATTGCTCCAGGAGCTCCAGACCTGGGCAACAGACTTCCCTGTAAAAGCCGAGTCAACAGCCAAGTCATCAAGTAGGAGAGTGACAATGAAAGAGAGAAGTGACCTGGCCCCATACTATGAAGGGGGGGGGGGGTTGCTCAGGGCGGGAGCATCAGCTAGGTGCTTTGGGGGGCTCCAGTGGCCTTTCGGAAGTGCAACCCAGCCTGAGAAGGCGCTTCCCTGAGTCAGACAGCAGCCACAGAGCCCAACCCACTTCTTCACAATCGCTATCTCAGGGTTCATCACCGGGTAGGTTTTGACAAAATCTTTGGTGGGACTGATTACACACTGGGGCTTGTCACCAGGTCCTGACGCATGTGACCAAGCTGTTGGCCAGAGGCTGTGCACCAGCCCTGGGTCTGCCCTTCTCTCCCAAGTGTCTGGAACCCAGTGGGCTCCTGGCCTGGGCACTGCTGACACTTAGGCCCTCCTGGGCACTGTCGGATATTGAGCAGTGCCCCTGGTTTCTACCTGCTAGATATCAGTGCATGTGGGACAACCAAAAATGCCCCCAGCGATGGCTGAATCACCCAGGCTGAGCAGCACTGCTACACACAGATGCAGGTACAACGGGGTTGCACGGCCAGGCGGTCTGAGCCTCACTGGACTCTTCCCCCGTTATGAGGGCCCCCATGTCTGCTGTAGTGCTAAGGGCTCTCTGGGGAAGAAAACTGTCTTTCTAGGTTTACTCTCCAGTTTCGTCTAAGTTCAGCCTTAGAACTATGTTTGTTGTTTGGGAAGCTTATGGGTTCTCAAGGCACCGCTCCTGGAAATGCAGACAGCGGCTCTATCTCCTTCCATTCCATCCTTACCAGAGCCTGCGGGGTGGCATCTGAGCTGAAAACAGGCCTGCTCTGTGCTAAAATGAACTCCTGTGGGTGAGCCTGCAGAGTCCTGCCTGTCCTAACTACAAGCAGATGGCGAAGCAGTGCCCAGTCCCGTGTGGGCTCCTTCCTGGAGCAACGGGCCTCTCTCTCTGCCTGGATCCTGGCAGCACCCAGGTCCAGGGCCTGCCACCAGGCAGCCCAGACATGCACATTCGCACCCTGAAGAGCCACAGTGGTCCTTTTTGAACGTGGGACAAGTCATCGTGGTGATTTCTAAGGAAACAGCCAGGCCTGGCATTCTGGGGACAAGAGGGAACGTTTTGGGGATGTGGGGCCCGCTTGCTCTCTGGTTCTGCAATTACCCGTGCGGGGCCTGGGTGACTTCATGCGTCTGGTATGTGGTCTCAGCACACTGCGACTTTTCAAAGCCGATCTAAAAATATCCGGTTGGTGCTATTATACATCCGAGGAGGAGGAAACAACGCTGGCCTGGCCTTCGAGGGGAGCTATTGTGTGGCTGCTCCTGGGCTGGCCAGGAGCACTTGCAGGGATGGCCTCCACGCACCAGAGCGGCTGGTGTGCCTGGGGGGTCATGTGAGACTGGGGGTGGACAGGAGGGAGGAAGCGGGAATCGGGTGCCAGCAATGATGCGATATAATCTGGCCTTGGGTCTGGCCGCATGTTTATGCCATTTGCCCACCAGGCCAGAAAACCCGTAGCCCTGGATTTTGCGGGAAAGGTCTGGGCTTTCTTGCAAACACGTTTTCCCCTTTTATAACATAAAACACACGTTTCTAATATAAGCATACACTTTGGAAAAAATATGTAGAGCTACACTAAAAGTTTACCGCACAGAAGAAAAAACATAACGAGATAACCCTATAATTCAACCTTGCACTCTGGTCATGGTTTAATGCACTGTCCTCTGGCGGGGCAGAGCAGGCCAGGACCCGGGGGGCACTGTGTGCCGGATAGGTGGTTCCCACTCTGCCAGAGATGCTGAGAACAGGGCAGGGGCTGTCTGGTGGTCTTCCAACTGCTCCTGTCTCTGAGGTTCTTCTTTTGAGTCAAAAAAGTTTTTAAAACTGGAGACATTCATGATTGAGCATCCTACCTAGCCAGAAATTTCTAGAAGGTGCATATTCAATGTAAACAGGATGGCTCTTTTCTCGGTTGGGATGCATGATAAATATTTTAAGAAGAATGGTGATGATGTACAGATAATGTATTGTAGAAGTGTGCACCTGAAACCTGTATGCTATTATTAACCAATGTCACCTCAATAAATTCAATTGGAAAAAAAAAAAGATAACATCATACAATGACTATGGTATGTACTGGCCCCACCTCAGGCTCACTGTGGGCTTTTCTCCTCTAAGAAACAGACAGACGTGCCATTCCCATTTTAGATGAGGAAACCGAGGTGCAGAGGTCAGCCAACCTCCCTGAAGTCTGAGAGCAGGTGGTTGATGTGGCCCCGGGCTCCCATTCCCAGCCTATGCCCTGCCTGTCTGACTCTCAGTACCTCAGGCCTGGGCTCCTTCTTCAGACCCATTCTTAGTGCCTGGAGTCGGGCAAACTGGCCTAGGACTTTTCGGGATGCCTGTCCACCCTGGCCCAATCCCTCTGAGTTCATACCTGGCCTCTGGGGCATCCAACCCAAAAACGGAACAAGCCTTGAAACAGATCGCATTAGGCAAATAACGTTTTGTTTTCAGATGTCAGAACCCAAAGCCCTGTGGAATGAGCTAAAAAGGCAACCTCACTCGCCCATCTCCCATGTTGACAGGTGAGCCCTGGGTCAGGATCCCCTGGAGAGAAGTTCCCCAGCCTGGCCATGCATGGTGGTCCTTCCAGCCAGGCTGACATGGCCAGACCTGGCATAACATCATCTCCAGATTTACTTATGCTCATCCTTTCTTGGAGGAAACTTGTGACTTGGTCTAGGTCGTGGGGTTGGCTGTCTCTGTTTTCCTGATCTTGCAGCCACAGGGACCTCACTTCCCAAGTGTTTATGGTTCATATGCATTCATTCATTCATTCACGTGATAACAATTGATTGAACACCTGCTGTGTGCCTGGCACCATTCTAGCTTCAGAGACTCCACCTTCCCTGAGAGTCTCTGACAGGCCCTGGCGGTCCATTTTGGCCAAGATTGGAAGCTCTCTCAGCCCACTCGGTCGCCTGCCACCTCCTGTGGCCTCGATGCTACCTCCCTCTCCAATGCCACCTCTGGGTGAAGCCTCTGTTTCCCCCTCAGACCATGAGCCACAGAGGACTTCAAGATTTCTTATGTCTGGTCAGGGCCAGGCACTGAGTTGAAAGA